AAGCAAAAACAATAGCTAAAATAACTAAAATGCGAGACTTAATAAGCAATTAAAAATCAAATCAATATTGTAAAAGCAATATTGTAAAAAATCTGTGTATAATTGAACATAGAATTTCTTATAAACAGTTCAAGAGTATTCCAGTTGTATATTGATGTTATCCAACTCATATGTACAAAAAGCACTCCAAAGCACTTGAAGCGTTAAACAGTTTGTACTTCATATCATCTACTTAATAAATCATCCTTTATTTATTGATATATAAAAATTTCTCCTATTCATTATAAGAAAATAATGTCGCAGAGTGAATTATTTTACAAAACATTTGAAATCCATGTATCACAATTATCTCGAAAAGATTCATTTAATAATGCATAGACGGGCATAAAAATTGATAACAATACGATGCCACATGACATCAACCGTACGTTTAAAATTTATCCGCAATATTATGTTTGTTAGCGGATATTTATGTCTATGTTGTTTCCAGTTTAGATTGTCTACATTAAAAATTGTAAACAATTGCCGGAATTGTAAACAATTGCCTCGGAAGCACATGTTAATACAATATCAGTGTCCTTGAAGCATTCACCGAGTAACCATCTATCTGGCACACATAATTCTATTATTTCCGCTAAAATTTGCAGTGTCACTTATTATTTCTGATATTACATATTTTTTTATACAAATACTACTACTCGTGAGCGTCAATTACAGGAATATGGATATATTAAATGATATAGAGATATTAAAGGAAGTAATTATATACAATAATTCACAAGCATCTCTTAAATTCAATTATTATTTTCATGCAAATCTTTGTCACGTCTGCAAAAAGGGAGGAAAAGAGAACATTTTGATAACATGCGACCGATGCTTCATGGTATCTTACTGCAGCGAGAATCACAGAAAGTTACACCATCCGCAACACCATGATCTTTGCGCAGTTGTAGAAAAGTACCTGAAAAAGAACCCGAAACAACGCACTGGCCGCTTTAGTACTGCACGTAAATGGTACAAATCACAGATGGCATTCCTCGCAAAAATTCGGAAAGGTCTATCACGTCCGGTTAAATGGTTCGAAACGCAGATGTTCATCTACCCTAAATCATGCCTTATTTGTCGTCAACAGGTAGAATTGTATACCTGCAATACATGCTTGTCCGCCAACTATTGCTTAGAACATAAGGAAGAGTTTGAACGGCAACATAATTTTTCCTGCAGTGGCTTGAAGTTATGGCTATCTTTAGAATTCTCAGAAATTCAATACGAAGGGAAAGTTCCCATATCGTTGAAATTCATAAGATTTCCTGACCGCAATAAACCTTATAATGACATAATCACATTTATTACACAGTATCTACAAGACGAAAAGGGGATATGGAACCTTACGGATTATATCTATAGCGAATACGTGTCAGCACCGTTGACTGTATATCATGGAATGAAAGCTGCAAGATTACTTAATACTCTACTGACTGAATCAATCTGTATCATTCATGTTATAGGTGCGTGCTACGTAGAAAGAAACGGTTTAGCAGCTTGGGAAATATTGTTACATCTGTTACCGAACATCAAAGTCTTAATAATTGTATTAATTGGAACAGACATACGATTTGAAATAGGTATGCGGGAAGTTTATTGTCTCCAATGTATGTACAATGAGAAGAAGTTTATCTATGAATGTTGTCGTATGACATACAGCGATTACCTAGCGGTTAATCCGATATATGGACATCCTAACTTAATTATAGTATTAAGTGTATTTTTAATACTTCTTCCATCATGGGAAAAAGATGTAAAGGCAATACAGTCTCAAAAATGTCCGTTACTTTTAACCACTGTATCTCTAGATGTCGCACAAGAGGAAATGCAAGCGATCGAAAGTGTTGTAGGTAAAAACATAAAACCTGTCCTTTCTATCTATAATAACTATAGATCTTTAAATCCGTACAGAACGTATGATTCTGTACGTTATTTCAATACACATTTAATTATTTATAAGACGTTAAATCATCAGTGCATATAAAGGTAGCAGTATCAAAATTAGATGATTGCGTCTTCATTTTAATAACATATATTGTACACGAAAAGAGAGAAAGATTGGTTTACTTAATGTGACAATAAACGAACAAAAACACGTTTGAGACATTCATTATTGCATTAAATCAGCCAATAGTTCTCAGCCAATAGTCTCCGTGTAAATGGCATACTAGACGAATTATTCTCACAAATAAGTTGGAATTTTCTTAATGAAGCCATATAATGCATTTTCAAAAAATGATATATTATTTATATGTTTGTAATATATATATTACTTTTGTTAGTAATATACATATTACTCTTTTCTTTATATCAATAATATCTTTACGTCGTATATAACGACTGCACTATGACTTATATATAAATTTTTTTGAACAATTAATAAATCGTAACATGCTGTTAAGAAAACACTTCTACAAGATGTTGGGTTTAATGTATTTGAACATACCTATGCAGCTTGGACTCGTTAAACTGAATATGCAACTGAATATTCTTTATTATTTTTCAAATTATCACAGTAGGTATACTGAGATATTAAAACAAACTTCTTAAATGTGATAGGATAAGTTCTTGAAGTTAGGTTTCGTTTAATATAATCTATTTATAACAATCTATTGACAATAATGTTACAACATTCAGTGCGTAGAAAATTAGTGTTGTAATATTGGAATATACGTTGCCACTATTCAATATTGCTTACCAATGAATTGTAATAGATTCAAAAATTTTGAATGGGACTGTGCCTGAACAGCTTGTCCATTGCATCTCGCTCATTAATTAATCAATTTTCTTTCATTAATATCTCCAAAGTTACCGCGGTAATTTACAAAATACTAGAAAATTTTTGCATTCAGTTTAACGTATTCAATTTTAATCACATAATGAAATGTTAAGTTTACGCATTACATGTGCTTCGTTAAGAATTACAAAGTAATAGATATGAATATAATAATAGGAATAATAGCAATAATAATAACAACAACAATAATAACAAAAAACAAAAATAATAATAACAATATAATAATAACGATATATTAATGTTATATTTTCAATATAATATTATTATAGTATTATATGCTTCTTGTGTTTATTTAGAATTTATTCGACATATTGCTCTTGATAACGAATATTCGTAATTGATTATATCTTCGTTGACAATTTGAATTTATGAATAATTTCAGAGACACGCGAAATTGTAGACGTTTTATGATTATACTCCGCATAATTATCGACCGAACATTTTAAAATTCTGTATAAACAGAATTTCAATAAATAATTGATGAAATGAAGCAATAATTATTAAAGGATTTTATCGCGCCGATGTACCTAGTTTTCTGTACCATTTCTAAATTGATTGGGAGATATGGTCATTTAATCGCAAACTTTTTTTATATAAGGACATGTCAAAATCTATAAAACTAATATTATTAAGAATAATCCTTTTCGGGATCTTTGTAGCAAGATTATGCCGTGTTGTTTGCTGCGAATATCACGCGTTCGTTCAAGCTGAAGCGGTGGCTGCTGTCTGAGATAATTGATGACTATTAATATTCGTAGATAACAATATTTTGAAGAGAGCATATCATATTTTCTTCATTATAAAGGCATATGACTATATAACAGTTTCTATGTCATAATTTCACATTTACGTTCCTTCAATAAGATTTTCCGTATCATATTGTTCCAACTTTCGTTCAAAGCAATCAGCAAGGATCAATTCAGTTCATACCGTAGGCTTGCTTGCGTTTCGTTAATCGCATTTCGGGACGCAATTGAGATAAAAACGCTCTCCTTGGCGGAAGATACCCTATCGTCATTGCAATTTGCTGTTTATAACGTTTCTTTAAAATCAACTATCGTTCTACCGTTTTCCAATATATTGAGCGTTTTGAATTATCTATCGAAAGATAACAGATTTTATCTTACGTGGCTAAAAAAGACGCGGCTAAAAAAGCCGCGTGCAATAAAGAGTTAGATCACGTCCAGTAAAGTCCTTTTCCATCTGTCAATCCTTAAAATTAGTCCTGTATCCTCTATTAATAAATACACTATCAATATACAGGTTGTCTGAGACCTTTTGAAAATGAAAAATTGTAAAGATTAATCAATCAAACTGAGAAGAAAAGTCATGCATCATTTAGCGAAAATCACAATGGTTATTAAGTTATTAATGATTGAAAATGACATTTAGAGGATTTTTCTATCAATAACTTGAAAATTTGCGTACTTATTTGCAAAATGGTAAAGAAACAAAATAGTTCTTTATCATTTTGCAAATAAGTACGCACATTTTCAAGTTATCAATTAAAAAAGCCTTTGGATGTAGTTGTTTTCAGTCATTAATAACCTAATAACTATTGCGATTTTTGCAAAATGATATTTGACTTTTTTTCTCAGTTTGATCTAATTAATCTTTACAATGTTTCGTTTCCAAAAGATCTCGAACACCTTGTATATCTATTCGCGTTATCTCTATAAACTATAATTCTCCTACAGTAATAGATTATTTAAACGATTTATTCAGCTAATAATGCAACATACAAGCATAGATATAGTAAGAATATGATGCATCTATCGCTGTACGTTTCAAACTTAACCACGATATTATTCTCGCTAACGGTCGCCAGTTTGAATTGTCTACATCTCTGACTGTAAATAACTTCCAAAATGCGTAGAGACGCATGTAAACACGTCATTAACGCCCTTCAGGCAATCGCCGAATATGTGCCGTTGTGTCCGATTTTCACTTGTCTACACCTCAGGCCGTAAACAATTCCCGCGAGACAATCAGAAACACACACGGACGCTGTTAGTGTCTTCCGAGCGATCGCCGAGTAATTATCCGTACCACGTGCGCAGAATAAAACTACTTTGGCAATCGAATTTCACGTGTTATTTCTCGGGTGATATTCTCGGGTGAAAGTTCTTGTGAGCGTTGATTGTACAAATATACTGTCATGAACCTGACAGATGCAATACTCCCATATTCTGGGCCACAATCGTCTAATTATTACAATCAGTTCTTCCACCCGAACATTTGTCACGTTTGCAAGCAGAAAATACACGGAAGAAATCTTATAAGATGCGAGTGTTTCCTGATCTCTTATTGCAGCGAGGATCACAGAATACTGCATCTGCCGCAACACCGCGACCTCTGCAAGGCTGTAAAGGAATTTCTGAAGCAGGAGCCGGAACAGTTAACTCGCCGTTACACTATGAACGAATGGGTAAAAACGCGGAGTGCATTTTCCTTGTCAGTCCAGCTGGCTATATCACGGTCGTTTGAGGAGTACGAGACGCAAATGTTCTTGTACGCAAGATCATGCCTTATTTGTCACCAACAGGTCGCACTGTATACCTGCGAAATCTGCTTTTCCGCCGAATGCTGTATCGAACACACACAAGAGTTTGACCAAAAACACGATCCTGTCTGCGACAGCCTAATACTGTGGCTCAATCTCGAGCTCTCGAATGTCGAATTCGGAGGTACAATGCCACTGTTCTTGAAATTCGTGAGATTTCCGGATGAGAATAGACCTTTCGGTAACATGGTCACGTTTGTTACACAATATATACAAGACGAAATGTATGAATGGTATGCTTTGGATTATATATATACTGATTACGTATCGGGACCGTTAACGGTATATTATGGGATGGAAGAAGCAAATCTATTACATTATCTAAAGGGAGAACCTACCTATGTTATTCATGTTATATGTGCGGACACTTTGGACAGAAATAGTTTGCGAGCTTGGGAAATACTGTTACATCTGTTACCCGACATAAAAGTCCTAATAATTGTAATGATAGGATCAAAATTAAATTATGAACACGGTACGTTCGAAATTTGCTCCCGCTGCAAGACTAATAAGAAAAAAATTATTTATGAATGTTGTCAAATGTTATATCATGAATACGTACCCATCGCGATATATAGTCAACCAAAGATAATCGTAGGATTTCAAGCATTATTAACGAGCGGTACAGCATGGCCAAAAAGTGTGAAAGCAATAAGATCTCAAGATTGCCCGTTACTTCTAACAACTGATAAGCTAATTACAGTGGAAAAGGAAGTAAATGAGATACAAAAAGCTCTGCATATTAATGTAGAACCTGTTCTTCGTGACGAAAATAAATTCAGATCTTTAAGACCACGCAGGAACATTGACAACACTGTGTCTTATTATAATTCGTATGTAATCATCTATGAGACATTAAATATTTTAAACAAGTCAACCGATAGTAGTAATAATAACAAACAGTTATATTCCTACTTGGCTAAAATGAGTTGTAAGTAACAAAACAAAGTTTTTTCACGAATAAATTTGATATTTTTGTTTATGAAATTCTATATATATAATATATTTTTTAAAGAAACGGATGCATATATATAACGATAAACTTATTATTTTTGTCTTTAAGGTTAGAACCTCTTATTGTTATGACCGTTACACTTTATTATATTTTACGAATCTTCACGAAACATGACACACAGTATATCACATTTAATTATTTTATTTCTATTAAGAAACAAAGATGTGTAAACATATTTTTTCTTAATTGTAAAAATGCAAAAATCATATTAAGTTGTTTTATCGTATGAAGAGTTAAGTTGCGTGTATTACGTACTTCATAAAAATTATGTAATAACATAAACGAATTTAATAGTAACAATAATAATAAAATAATAGCACATCACCAGTAATAATATATTAATACATATTAATATTATATTATTATGTGTTATGTGTTAATATTTTATTGTTTTGTTATACTAGATGTTTCTACCGTATATTTTTCATTTATTCGCAATATTCTTGATAACGAATATTTGTGTGTGTGTGTGTGTGTGGGTTGTGTGTGTGGGTTGTGTGTATGTGTGTGTGTGCATGTGTGTGTATATGATTGATTATATCTTCGATGACAATCTAAACTATATATAATTTCAGAGATTACACAAAAATTATAAATATTTTATTATTGTATCAAATAATGTGTCGAATAATTATTGACGAATAATTATTGACGAGACATTTTTACAATATGTAAACAAAATTTTAATAAACAATTATAAAGCAATAATAATTGATTGTAAGAGAATTTTATTTGTCGCACTAAAGTTTTGTATATCATTCCTAAACTGAAATATTATATTTGTATCAATTATAGAGATATATTGATATAGCACAAGGGGAAAAGATAAATATAAATATCATATAGATTACAAATGTCTCGCTATTAAAGAGAGGTTTCATTATAAATACGCGATACATATATGCAATAATAAATATCCTTTATAAGACAATTTGTTTAACTTTCATTGTTTTCATATAAAATTGTCATTAATATTATAAGAAATAAAAAATAGAAAATGCGATTAGAAATTTTATTAATTGCAAATTATATCAACAAATGTGAGAAATATATTGCCGATTTTGCATATTTTCAGAATAGTAGAACAACTAGCAAAATATGAAACGAAACATGAAATCGCATATTGTTACGTGCTATTAAGTATCCCCACGGTGAATCACGGAGAAACAATTACAAGATTCTCGCGTCTCCTGAGAAAGGTGAACTTTTATTAATACCGATCTCTGACCCCGCTTTCGTAACGCAACAACTTCTCGGCGAATCTGATCTCCTAGTGATGTCGGCTGGGTAACTTCAGTCAAGTGTGACCATTTGGGGATAACGCGTTGCTAAAATGCCACGAATCATCGGAAACACATTCTTGCATTATTTTCTTGTGTCTCGATCTGTTTCTCGTTACACTTCGCACCGCGTCGCGTTGTTTAAACTCATACAACTCGATCAACACTCGTGACTGCAAATAACCGATGTTTATCTCGAGCAATCACCACATCCCCGAAACATTTGTCTTTCAAGATAAAATCGTTATGACGTTATACGGCACGGAGAATGTAAATCGCTTCTGGGATATTTGATAAATGTTCTCCCTATATAAAAGTGTAAAATGCAGAATGACATTGTCTCATATATCGCGTAGAATAATACAGGTCGACTTCTTCCGTATCTATAGAGAGATACGTAAAAATAATTATATCATATATATAGAATAAAACATATGTACAAGACACGCCTACGCATGTGAGTGGAATATTATATATCTAGAAATATAATTCATTGTGGTCGATTTTATGCACGTTAAAAGAAAGAGAGAGAAAGAGAGAGGAGATTTCATAAGCATTTAGTTATATTCATATATATATATATATATATATAAAATATGCTCAGTGAATATGCTTATTAAATTGCAATTTTATAATAATTGTAGATTTTACAACGATCCGTCGCTTTTTACATAACGCCTGTCTGAGCATTTCGTTAAATCCACCAAAATTACAAGCTTTTCCCTGAAAAATTTTATATATCGAAGCAGGAGAACAGAAACTCACTAAAGTCGCGTGACATCGATCCAAATAATTTCGTGGTGACCTCCATTAAAAAAAAGAGAAAAGCCTGGAATTAAATAAAATATCGCCGAAGCTTATCGTCGTCGCCTTTATATCGGGGTCTAATAAATAAAAAAAAAAAAAAAAGAGAAGAAAAGAGAATAGACAAAGTTTCTCAGACAACTAACGTCCTCGTGCTCGCAGCGTTTATCGATAATAAATTAAATTAAACGACGAGCACCGGTCTGTTTGATATTTCACGCACGGCACTCGAATCGCCGACGCGACCACCTGGCGTATGTGTTTGCGTGCGTGTGCGTACGAGATAATATATACATTATAAATATTTTTAAACAAACTCTGCGCGATTATATTTTTGTAAGGATAACGGACATTACACGCCCCAGGATACCGTAAATTCGGCGGAGTCGAACATCAGCGGGGGAGAACCTTCGGCCGTACGGCGCCGGTATTGACGGTTATTTCTCGGTTCGCGTCTAGAGCCGTTCCTTTCCACGGCACAACGACTATAATAAGAGTAACGCGGTGTTAATAACGGCCTCGGTAAAAAGCCGATTGACAATCAAGTGACAATACATTTCGTCGGTGACCAGGCCAGCATGTCGCCGATGGAGCTCCATCGGCTGTCCGGCCGAAGCATTCGCAGTGGCTGACCCGCACAACTTGAGAGTTTCGAGGTAACAGGATAGCATGAGGACGCGGCGTTTCTTCCCGCTCAGGCGGGCAGTCACTGCGGACGAGCGAAACGTCGGTCGACTTCATGCCGAGGAGCAAGTACTGTCCTCCGGCGAGGAATCGCGATTTTTCGCGACTGTCGCCTTGAAAATGTGACTCGCGGACATCTCGGTAGGGCCGCTCAGCGACTCAGTGAAGGCGACGACGATCAAGTCGACGATGAATTGTGTCTCTCCCAGCGCTCGGGAAGTCGAAGATAAAGAGGCTTTAACAGCATAGGTGAACGAGAGAGGACGATCGCTGAGAGCGCTGGGCATGATTTCCAGAAAATTCACCTCAGGACTCGAACGGGCTCGTCGCGACATTCGTCCGTCGGCCTGCCGTATCGCGGCATGGCACGCTTCGCGATCCCGAAAGGGCGTAACGTAGGAGTGTCCGGAAGGCACGGAATTGCGGTATCAAAAGACGCGACCGGCCCGCAGTGGACTTCGATATACCTCGTTATCTAAGGAGGAAACGGTTGTACCGGAGGGAAGCCGTGTACCGGTCTGGGTGGAGTCTCCCGCGGCGTTGTACCGCCTTTGACAAATACTTGGAAACAGGATAGCAGGAGGAAAGCCGGGCAAAAAGTGAGGGTGAATCGCCGCTAGGGAGGGCTAGCGAGGGCAGAGGTGAGAGCGCGCGCAATGGCGGATCGTGCGCTAGATTCGACGCGCCTCTTACGAGGCGGAGGCCGGGGACGCGTTGAGTAATGAGCGAATTGGCAAAGTACGAGATGGTGCTTCGGCGAAATTTCTCGCTCGTATTCTCATATTCCCGGGCACTTCGATCAGTTTCCGACTGGGTCGGACTCGCCTCGAGCAGGCCAACCCGCTCGCCGCTGGGACTTCCTCCTTCTCGACAGCCGCCTCGTTAAAACGATCGTCCCGATTGTGTGCCGTCTCGGTGATTAAATAGCACCGTCGTAGACGGTACCCGGATGCCTGTCGATATTCGCCACTGCGGAGGCGCGAGTGGAAAGAGTAGGAGGAGTGGAAAGGGGGGCGACCCGCTTTCTCCCCCACCCAGAGAGCGGCGCTTATCGAGCTGCCACGCGCCGCTCTGATCGCTCCCGAACATGTTCCCCTGCGAACGCAAGACTCGAGTGTGACCCGGCCTGGGGACATGGGCACGTCCTCGGCGAAGGTCAACGGACTCTTCTGTGCGATTACGCCGCGACGGAGCGCGTGAGCGTGCATACGTGTCCGACAGCTGGCGACGCTACGTCGCGTTAGCGTGAAACACATGACGCGCCGGAGATCAGCTTCAGGGCCGAGCTGCGGGAAGAAAGCTCGCCCCTCGGTAGGATCGACCCGGCAAATCCGAGCGGAAAGCTTTGTCGGACACGTGCGTGGAGTTTTTGCACACCTGGAGCGGCCGAGTGGGTGACGCGCGTCAGGCGGTCTCCCCTTTTTAGATCTCGCTTTGACGAGGGAGTTCGCGACTTAAATGCTCTCCTGCGAACTAATACTGTCATCATCTGATGAAACGCGCGAGAATAAAGCGCACCAGGGACTTAGCTTTACTTGGCACAATTTCACAAGCGACACTCCACGACGAAAATATAACCACGGTGCATGTGACGTGTCAATGTACTCGTTTGTGTTCCTTCGTGAGACGCGACAGTGAATTTCACGAGGAACGTGTGGCAGATTCTAAAAATCTGAGACACTGCGGTAGCCAGACACTCAACAACGCAACTGTTTCTTGCTTCAGTTGGAAAATAATTTTCAAAGCGAAGACGTCTCTTCGAAGGACACCTTTTTTATACATTTATTATACAGGGTGTCCAGGATCTTTTGGAAATGAAAAATTGTGAAGATTAATCAGATCAAACTGAAAAGAAAAATCATGTATCATTTTGCAAAAATCATAATAACAGTTATTAATGATTAAAAATTACTACATTTTCTAGAAACTTATTTAATGGATAATTTGAAAATTTGCGTAATGGTAAAGAACTTTTGTGCCTAGCGACAGGTTCAAAATTTATAGTTCAAGGTTCAATAAATACTCATATATTTATCATTAGACACAATAGCTGCCATAATTGTAACAATTGTAGATTAGGTCTTTTATTTATTCTGAACAAAAAAATCCTTTACCATTTTGCAAATAAATACGCGAATTTTCAAGTTATTAATTAAAAGGTTTTCTAGATATGGCCCTTTTCAATCATTAATAATTATTATTAATGATTATATCTATTGCGATGATGATATCTATTGCGATATTGTAAAATGGTATTTGACTTTTCTTCTCAGTTTGATCTGATTAATCTTCACAATTTTTTGTTTCCAAAGAATCCCGGACACCCTGTATAATATAATATTTGTTTAAATTTTCTCATACATTTTTAAAGTCTAATATAGTTAATAAATTACCGCTTTTAAACCACTTAAACCAAAATGCGCACACATCGTACGATACAACACTTTCGCCGAGAAAGGAACAAATCGATTCTTGCAACATTTTTTCCTTGTTGGAATTCGTAAAGAATGCAGTGTCGGATATGCACCTTATCTGTTGCCATTATCGACTGTACTGAACTGAATACTTTTGAAGGTTATGTTGGGCCTTTCGCCAAACTATATATTTTTTTTAATAGCCATATGTCAACATTGCATAATCACAAAAGAGCGGGAAAACCTATTCAATTTAAAATTGATTTCATAACTGCTTAAAATAATTTGGATTATTCATTTGTACACCTAATACGTATATCAATAGGTGCGTCATAAGAAATTACGTATGATTTACAAAATTTAAAAGTTCCAAGGATTATGCAAATGTAATGTATGCAATCGCTGGCCGAGAGCTGATGAATACGTTCATAGAATTTTAAAATAGACTTGCGAGCAATATATCATATGTATAACGACGATGTTACGTTACATTTACATACAGTTAAGAATAATATTTGCATTATATTAAAATGTCATTAGCTTTCAAATATCGTTATTGAAAGTTTATTACATTTATATATATTCAGTTATTAAAATGTATCATTGCTTAAATATTTTTAAAATATATTATAAAGCAAAGAATATAAAAAATATAACAACCCATAAATATTCTGTACACAACAGCCGTAAATAACATTAAAATGTAAAACAAACTATTGTTCCTGATGTAATTTCATACGTCAAAGCAAAACGTATAACTGCAAGAACAAATAACAGTCATTTATAAAACTACAACATAAATATTTCAAATTGCAGAAAAAAATATATATCTGGACTAGAAGAAAAATGTTTGAATAATAATAAAAAATTGGCTACGTAGGAAATTAGCTTCAATTGTACTTTATTCAATGAATGGTATTAAATTAAATTTAAACCATTATGTTGAAAGTTGGGTTTAATAAATAAATAAAACTTTGTTAGGTGTCTCGTTTATCCATTCATACTCAGAAATAACAATAATAGCAATATCTCATAAACAATTATAAAAAATTGATTTCTTCATCATTCTAAGTTTGTCATAAAATTATTTATAACATTATAATATCACACAACATTATTTCGATGATTTCGATGGCTTCAATTTTTCTTTTATTTAATGATCGATATTAAATTAAATTTAAATCATTGTGCTTAAAGTTATGAGTTTGATAAATCAATAAAACTTTACTATCGAAAGTGTTTTGTTCATCCATTCATACTGAAAAGTAACGTAAGTAGTGATATTTCATAAACAATAACTATAAAAAAAACTATAAAAAGCTATACTAACTATAAAAAACTTATCTTTTTTCATTAATGGGTTTGTCATAAAATAATTTATGATATTGTAATATCACAATATATCGCGTAACATTATTTCGATGTAATTATCATATGAAATATATCCCTACCTTTTGCGACTCCGAGGATTGAGAACCACGGGTGTCGTAACTGTGTGTACGTCATTATCACGAGCCTCCTACGTCACCGGGCGTGCGCCAACGTAAGATTCATGTTTGCCTGCTATGTTGCGCGGCAGCTCGACATCTTGCGGTCCGTGCGGATTCCTTGCCGCACAACGACGAAACGACCGCGACGAACCGCGGGACGAATCCATTCGGGAAACACGAGACGCGAGATGCGCTCGTTACTGCAACGAAACAGAAGAGGGACGGTTATTCCTGCGACGAGAACGCGAGGAGTCTATCGCGCGCTCTCTTTCCAACCAACATCCGCTTAAACCTTTCGTACTTGAGACTGATGTATATGCGAACTTTAGACAAGAAACAAGGAATGCAAACAAGACATTGCAGGACTGCTTAGAGAGTGCGACTGTAAAAACGGATAACCTATGTCGGACGATGTATCGAATGTGGCTTGGTCGATCAGCAATCGATGACTCTAAGACACCGACATAGCTCGATATAGACGAAACGTACACTCGAGAAGCATTCGAGAGATACTTTCGCGATCGTACGAAAAATTGCTCGGGCGTATCTGTTCTGTATCCACCTGCAGCTCCTTATTTCTCTTCAATATGACTGATATAAAATCATGAGGAAAGGAAAGGAGCAATAAAGTGCACGGAGAAACTTTATCATTCCTAATCGATTGTATTTAGGCCTTTCGATTCCTTTTCCTTCACGCCGACCATCTTTGATTATCAGCATTTCCGCCATTAATCTCGTCGCGCGAATCATTCTCGGGGACATTGCAATAATTGCTCGATCTGCTGTCTCCAGCGGCGCTTTGTCGCGGTTTCTACTCTCAGTATCGAAGAGGGATACGCTCGACCTTTGGAGGAAGAGGGAAAAAGCGCGGAAACGACGGGAAAACACGGAAATCGCAATTAAAAGGCGCATGTCACGGCGTACATACATACGAAGCAACGATTCGCGCCGATAGAGAGGATCAAATTGAAATTAATAAATGTAACAGAAAGATGGTCTGCACTTTTTAGCTGCACTGCTGAACTAAATGTGAAATAAGTTAGTGAAATAAATTAGACTAGAAATAATTAGAGACATATAGTATATTTGTTCTGCGAGAAAGTGAGGTAGAAAAAGATGTCTGTAAGCGCCGCGCTTTGGCCTGAGCACTTTCGATGCTTTTTCGATACCATCTCGGCGCGTGCTCATTCGTTACATTCCTGTTAATTAATAACTCGAGAGTTATTGCGAATATCGCAAAATGGAGTGGGAATTTTATATTTATCTTAATCCGCTCTATATCTCCGTGAATTCTTCGGAGCGAGGAATTCGTGAAATACCCTGTACATGTGTCTTCGACCGCAATTTTAGTATTATTTCAACTTCGAATTATTAACTCAAGGAATGCCAACGTGTGTATATATTTAAAATAAAACTTATTCCAAATTTTCTCACGTCTCGCAATCTCAGGAGGACATACACATACACATATTCGATCTGTTTTCCATATTGATAGTTTTTTTATACATTCCGATACCTTTTTTCCATTATTCTATATCTTATCATATTACTATCCATGCTATGTTTCATATTCCGGCCACGATATTCCTAATAAGCTATTGGAGCGCTAATGCTCAGCGAGATTTCTCTGGTACGCTAAATCCCGTAAGACCAACAATTTTTATAATATCTCGTCGGTGAGTTAATCAATCAAATTTTTTGACAAGTCTACTTCTTATATCACTTATGTGTAAAAATATTTTTGTGAATAAGTAAAAGCTTCTATAAAAAATAATAAGTAATTACTTGTTTTATATCGTGTTCAAATTTAAAAGTATAATTTATCAAGATATATAATATATGTTCCTTCGCATTTACAATACATATACTCTTTCGAAATATGCGCTTAATTCAATCACATTGATCTTAAAATGGCGGCTTCCGGCTTATCTGCCACACAGCCACACTCTCCTTTGACCCTCTCTACGCGCCGAGCGACTGGCCTGACATCTCTGAGCAATGTTTTCGTAGCGGTGCAACACGTGACCGTTAGCGTCAGTGCGCAGGGACGGCCGAACGGTGGATGTCGACGTCGTGGTCGTGGTGTTATGACAGCGAGGATTTTCATATGACAGTCGAGGAACAGCGCGCGAAGATCCGACACAATGACAGTGTAAAACAACTTTGCGTACTGACGCACGTTGAACTCTTCACGCGACTCTCGTCACCGCACGCCACGCCAAAATGCCGGACAAGGAGGAGAACTTTTGCGAGAAAATGGCAAAAGCCACCAGGGGAATACACGCAATCAGCGATGCCTTGGTGAACGCGAAATTGGCATTCGGTAAGATATCCTCTTGGAGATCCCCCTTGGATATCGTAAGCCTTCGGCATTTTGCTTGGATCTGGCTGCGAGTTGCGCAATTGATTGCATTTTGATAAGATAGACTATGTAAATGCACGCTCTTACTTGCTGTGAGACGAAAGTTCTCCTATGTAGCGAAAAGCATGTGCGAATATCTATTTGTATTTTTATTATATAGTTGTGATGCCAACTTTTGTATTGTATAAACTTTTATGTACTCTCTAATTAGGCTTTCTCGATGACTCTGTATGGGCTGACGGGCTTCTGGTTTTCTATGAGGTATTTCGCTACTTAGAAGGTGCAATGATTAGATTAAAGAACACCAAAATTGGATTGCTTCCACTCAGTGAGCTTCAACGTACAGAAGCTTTTGAGCAAGATCTTGATCATTACTTGGGAAAGGGATGGAGGAAGAATTATAGTCCTAGGTACATGTTATATAGAATAAATATAGCAACAAGTGCTATCACTTTATATTTTTCTTTACGTACGTTTGACATGATTCAAATGGGCACTTGCCCATATTGAATACAAATATCATAGTTTAATCATAACAAATAAATTTATAAAAAATAAAAAAATCCAGTGTCTTTCTAATTTGTAAAAATATTATGAATTTCAGAGATAGTGTTGCCAAGTATCTGATGCGCTTGAGAGAAGTGGAGGATACAGATCCTACTTTATTAATGGCATATATTTATCATCTTTACATGGGCCTCCTCAGTGGTGGTATGATCCTACGCAAAAAAAGGCAGCTTATGCAGAAGCTCTCGCTTTTTAAATCGTCACCGTCGATCGGTAACAACGTTACAAGCTTTGGACAAAACAGTATATTTCAGTTGAAGCGTGATTTGCGCGAATCGATGAACAGAATCGCGGAAACGCTGGATGAAGACACTAAGAATAAACTTATCGAAGAAAGTAAAATAGTCTTTGAATTGAATAACGAAATTGTCAAGAGCGTGCAGACGGGCACTCACGTCTTCGAGAAGATATTCTACTTTATCGGCCAAATTGTGCTAATTATTTTTGTCCTGGTAATCGCCATCAGTGTGCTCTTCAAATATATTATACGTTAATAAACATTAATTTAATTAACGTTATCTTTTTAATACAGATACAATAGGGGTTCTTCTGTTAGGCAGGAAAGCGTTGATATCAAAACCAAAGTATAAAGCATTATGTTATTTATGCGCTGTATAATCGCCTTTTTATAGTTATAAATATTGATCATTATCATTACTTGTATAACATGAGTTTTAAGGGCGACCTGTTTTCTAAAGTTTACCGTCATATATCGTAAGAATAGTGGATTACCAAGATTCAACAATAAAAGAACAAATTGCACTTCGCACAAATTGCGAAAATAATCCATAGTAAATTCGTCTCTTGATCAAAGTAGACGATAGTATTAGCCAAATGTATTACGTTCGTTTCTATATCAGCATCCGTATGTTTAATTTGGTGATCCATTCTCCCAACAGTTATATATAGAAAGACTATATACCTACATAGAGACAATCGAGAATCGCCCGTCTATCGAATTTAAAATTATCCCAACTTTTCGAACGAAATTCTGCGGGATAACCTTGAACATCCACATTTTTCGTTATAAATGGCGAACAATTATGTTCCAGATCTAAGGACAATGGTGGAATAGTTTTAAAGTCTTTTTGTAGCTTGCGAGCGGCTTCCCCGAACAACAGCGACTTGATATTTCCCTCTGGTAGGCTTTTCTTGTGAGGATCTGAAAAAAAAATAGTTTCTATATTTAACATTACCAAATTGTTATTTAATAACATATAAAAGAAAAAGTATATATGTATGTGTGTCGTATATGCGTGCGTGTGTATGTATGTGTGTGTAACTTGCAATATATATTTTAAACGGAATCTTAAGTTTAATAGAGAAAGATGGAGATTAAAATTTAGACTGTAGAGAAAGATGGAGATTACAATTTAGACTGTAAATTAAGTATAAAATACCTTTCACTTCTTTCTCCGTCGATTGCACTTTGTAACTGAAATCATTGCACTTGATCGATTGAATCGCAGGATCATTTAGGAATGTACAGGGCTGCTGTTGAGGACTATCGATTAACTGTTTTGCGAGGACCAAGGGCGATTGATCCTCATCATGGTCACCGAATAGATTCCTTTTCAGTGCAACCTTTGATGGAGTGTTCTTATTATCGTGTACACTGCGACGATTACGAGCTGGAGAGGTGTTCGACTGACGACTGTTTTTAAACTCTTTAAAATCTGGAATTTCATTCTGTAAGTGCCATACCAAAACGTACATGAGAATTAGTTTATACTGCAGCGTACAGACAAGAAATAAAGATGCAAAATATGTGATTTGCCTACCTGTACCGAATGGGGAAATAATTGCTGTTGTCGTTTACTCTTCGAAACCGTCTCGACGTCTCCCAAGGACTTATGCCTGTGTCTTCGAGTAGTCGTAACGTTTTTCTCGCGTTGCTGCTTCTCTTGAATCCATCGCTTCATTCGTCTAAGTAATATAACAATATCAATACATACGTAATATAAGTTTTTAACATACTGACTACTACACTGTTTCCTGTTGATTATTTCAATGCTTAACTGAAGCTTAAATCACCAAAGATACAGTAAATAAATGCAATTCATGATGCATACATTCGTCAGCCCATTTCATTGATTCCCTATTAGCTATATAATTAATTTTTTATATGCAATTGGGGTTATACTTGATATATAAATTAATAAGATGCAGCAATATTATAGTGCCAGCTCACATAACCCAGTCCAACAGTTAATATGTCTCAATAAACATTTAATATTCTCGTATAACATATATCACTTACTTGACGAAAGGTACCACCATAAAAAATGCATTTGGTCCAACACCAATCTTTACTTTAGGAGTCATATCTTTTTTGTTATTTGGCAAATCTGCAACATCAAACCACTCGACATTTTTTATTTCTTTTCGTGTTTTTGGTTGAAACTTAGTGTCTTGTTGTACACCCGAGATTATGTACAACCTTACTACTTGATCGTTTATTGTAGATTCAATATATTCATTTTTATCTATCAAATTTGATATATCAAAACCAGTCTCTTCCAAGACTTCTCTTACAGCGCAATGTAAAGGTTCCTCATCCTCATTTACTTTTCCTTTGGGGAAACTCCAGCTATTTCTTGCCCAGTAGCTCTGAACCAGAAGCACTTTGGTCATATCTTCATTTAACACAATTGCACCAAACGTAGGCACATTCTGCTTATACTCCCTCCATTGCTCGAGTATATCATCAATGTGCGGTACGTGTGGTATTAGAAAAGGTATGTGCTGGAATATGTGAGTAGCAAAATCTTTCATATTACACGGCTTCAGCTTGGGATTCTCTTCAGTGCAATAGAAATCTAAGTAAAACCAGTGTGCTAATTCAATTTGGAAGCATATTCGCACCAAGTCTTTTCTTTCTTCCTCAGGTACATTGATAATAAATCGACTGTAAGGATATTAATAAATCAATCATATAAAAATGATATATCATGAATCACAAATGTCATTATTATTATACAAAATATTCTATAAAGAAACTAACCTACTAAGATCATCAAGGATATCGGACGGAATTGTATGCTCCATTATTTCATTTATTTACCGCTCTCTGATGCTTAATATAACGTTGCATACTGTTACAACAATATAATGACATAATTAGTAAAAGAAGCCCCAAATATAGATACAGAAATACAAAATCCATTATATATGTGAATATATAAATATATACAAATATAATTAAAATCTTAAAAAATATAGCACAAAAGTACGACAAATAATATTTTAATGTTACTATGTTACCATGTAAAAAGTTATATAAAGCAGCATTAAATAATTACTCATATTAAAAGATGAAAATTGGTTGGACGACGAAAATACATTTCTTCTATATTTAATAGAAACGATAAATAGGAAATAATATAAAATTTTACAAGTACTTAAGAACAGTTATGTAAAATCATAAGCGGAACTTAAGTTGATAAACATTACAAATTACATTATTTCATTATAAATTGTCAACTAACCTAACCTATAGCGCCCCGGTGATACCAGTCTGATGTTCGTCCGATGAATTGAAAAATTCGATTCTGTTTTAATCAAAGGACCAATTATTTACCTCGAGGATTTTTTCAAAGTTAAATATATCATATATCGCAGTCTTTTAATTCGATGTTATTTTTAATATTATTTTATTATATTATTCCACTGTGTTATTAAAAATTCTTATTGAAAATACAAGTCCGATCTGTTGTTGAGTCGTACTACGACCTTGATTTCTCAACGTTGATTGTACTACACAGATAATCACTGAAAAATTGAGATTAGTGCGAGACTCATGCGAGACCAGTAGTGCGGAGTGAAAGAAAGAGTTTCGAAGTGACGCAACACTTCTCTGTTTTTGTCTAGCACATAGCTTTCCATTCTCCGCACAACTGTCTCATTTTTCTTATTACCGCCCGCACAGTAAGCTAAATAAGGATGAAGATACTATTGAGGTTCCCTCCTTCATTCTCTCTCTCTCTCTCTCTCTCTTTCTCTCTGTCTTTTCCTCTTTCTCTCTCGCTCTTTATTTCTCTCTCCTTTTTCTGTCTCTGTCTCTCTCTCTCTCTTTCTCTCTCTCTCTCTTTACTTCTTTCTCTTTCTTTCTTTCTTTTTACCTCTTACCATTTCATGCAGTAGGCTTTATATTTGTGTTCAATTTTACAAATCTGACAGCATTTTTAATTAAACAGATTTTGATCAATTCAAGATTTTGATCAATTTGATTAATGACGTTATAAGCTTGTCTGGTCTGTCGCAAAAATTCCAATGTCATTAATTGATCGCGGATCAATTAAAATCCGTTCAGTCGAATTCCATTAGACCTTATTTTATTTTCTTTCGCTTTGATATCTTTTGCTTTGATAAAAATCGTTTCATTAGCTACATATTTTCTTTTAGGATAATTATTTTCTTTTAGGAATAATTTTAGGAGCAAACCGATATCTATACAAGATTTATGTAGGCCTATTTTCTGTTCTCTGAATTCATGTCTTTGTATATCTTTGTAGACTTTAAAATTATTCATAACTTTTTTGCATGAATTTCGAATAATCCATTTGATAGGAAAAATGTCTAATAGGACTTTTTCATTTTCTTATTATCGCCCGCACAGTAGACTAAATAAGGATGAAGATACTTCTGTGATTCCCTCCTTCATTCTCTCTCTCTCTCTCTCTCTCTCTCTCTCTCTCTCTCTCTGTCTTTCTCTCTCTCTCTCTGCTCAATAGGAAAATTCTTCCATTGGGCAAGATGTTTTCATTGGGATGTTTTAAAACTCACATGAAAAATTATGCGCAATTTTTCTATCTACAAATGCACTTGATGAAATTTTCCCTGCTTTTGCGCATTCTACTTAATTCTATCTCAATTCCAAAGAAACTCCATACAGTGCAGATAAAAAGAACAAACTTCATAATCTTTTCAAGGTTACTACGTCCGCGTTGGCTGCACACGTTTACGCATGCGTGCAAAAGTGACGGGAGTTAGCTGAGAAGGGTTAAAATTTACACGCAAGCGCAACAAGCAAATTGTTAGTTGTGTACATATTTTATTAAAATATAAGGTACCATATAGATCTTTAAAAAGAAAACTATCAAATATAAGATTATTGTTGGAAAATCACGATATATTGATGTAAATAATGAAATTTATTAATTTGCTGCATTTACAGCCGATTAGCAACAAATAATGTATGTAAACTGTAATAATTTTTAGCAGAGTTTACAATAGAAGTCGTAAAATATTAAATCATAAGATCATAAGAAAATTGATCGTTCGTAATCAATTATCCTGCTTGTAGTCGAAGAATAACCAATTGTGATTGATTAATTTTCTTCCAACTTCACGACGACTTTATTAAAATTAAAATTTTTTATTTATTTAATGTGTATCAGAAACATGCGAAATTCTGAATATTTTTTACATAATAGTTTTACATAATAGTTTATAATATGAGGCATGAAGAATTTATTTAGATTTTACATAGTGCCCTGTATTACATCAAAGTACGAATCTGTCGAGTTTGGTCATATAGAGCTGTGACGTAGTTACGCATGCGCACAGAGATTCAGCCGCAGAAATTTGTCCCTCCATCTCCAATCACTGCCTGCCGAGCGAATAGTGGGAAATTTCTCTGCATCTAAGATCGTTGTCGAGTGGTGGTGTGAAGAATATGGTTAACGTTGAGGTGCAATCGAGCGTGTCTCGTGTTTCGATTCCTGATTCAAATTACTCCGAGTCATTCACCGCAGTTGTTTGCCAAGTCATTGCGATGAAACGTATAATTTGGTGTGACGTTGAAACGAAATATGATCTATGAAACGGTTTCCTTCCTCGATGTTTGGCTGTTGGTAAGCCTTTTTCTTTTTTACCTCAATTTCCGACTTCCTTATGTTTATTTTTCACTCGGTAAATCCCACAGACAATATACTAGTTGATTTTCGAGAATTCTTTTAGTTGATGTATTTGTTGTGTGCGGAGATATACACATATGAAAAACTTGTTATTGTTTGTTGCGTTGAGAATTTATTATCTATTTAATTTTGTAAAGTGCTATATTGAGGTTATTATTTCTGTCAGAGTGAATTTGTGGTTTTACATTTTTTCACTTGATGATTATAATATATGTTTATGATGACGTTGCAAGTTTTATGTTACTTGTCAACGCGTATAGAATCATATCTGATTTTAATAACTGGTATGTTTGTCACACATGTTTATTTTTATGTATTATGAAAGGAGTTTCTTTTTTACCAAAACATTTGTTTTAATAGCCAATTGAATTCAAAAAATGTTACATCAAAATTGTAATGCGTATTCCTTTAAAAGACTTGAAGTAAATGTCACTGAAAGAATCGAAGTAAGTTATCAATGTTTTCTTTAAGGTATTTATCTTTTATATTCTTATTTTTATATTTTATCTTTTATAATTAAGGCTATCTTCAGATATAACAGATAAAATCATATACGTACCAAATCTTTAGTCACTGAAGTTGGTTGCAAGAATTTTATTTCAAGAATTTGTAGCACAATCAGCATAATTATAAAATAACTAGTAAATTAATATATTTGTTTTAAAATGTACATTTGATATTATGACAAAATTAATTTTGTGGAATATATATATGTGTGAACTATGACAAACAATTTGTGATATATTATATTTATCAAGTACAGTAATGGTTCAATAATGACAGGTATTTCATAACCTCAAAATAGTTCATTACAAATTTCAAAATAATTCAAATCCTAATATATTTGAAATAACAAAGAAGGACAAATTTTGAATGGATCTTGCTTTTATTATAATAATAGATAAATAATAAAAAATATTATGGGAAATGAAAAAGATTATTAAATCTTATTATTAAAGAACTATCTATCTTTTAAAATATAACTTTTGTAAATTACATGAATTAATATAAATTTTGTTTATTATATTAGGACTGAAATCTTAGTATTATTCCATCTGGAATTCTGCTTCCATATATGACATTAAGGTGTGCTTAAGAACGTGTCTTCCTTGAACTTCTATCTGGTAGCACAGTTAACAAAATGGAGACTTCAATACGGGAAAAGATACTTAGCTTTGCAGATGTTATAATGAGAGTACCACCTTTATTTATCATCGATGAGATACTTAGAATTGATTTGGGCTTACCCAACAATAACATCATCTTGAATAATCCTGAGAATGATTTTAAAACCACCAATATACCAGGCACAATTGTTAATTCTATTTCCTCAGTTACAACAGACTCATTCCTAATGGAACAATTTGACTTAGGTCATTTTGCTTACAAAGCATATTTCATAATAGTATTCAAATTTCTATGCTGTTGTCTCGGTAAGTAGAATTCCTTTATATGAGTTGTTAATAGATTTCAGATAAGTCAGATATTTATCAGCAAAAGGATTCTGCTGACTAAATTATACAGCTAACAGCAGTTGTGTAGTGGGGTTAATGTCAATGGGTTACTGTTTTCAAAAGGAAGGAAGATCTGTTTTTAACAATAAAATCAAAGAATATTTTTCATTGTGGAAATTGATGAGATTTGAAATATGCAGGAAGAATAGAAAACAAAAACTTGTATTGCTTATATAATTTTATCTCGGTTCTGTATGGCTGATAAAAAATATCAGATTAAATCTGATCTTATATCTTATTTTTCATGTACTTTGCTGTAATCTTATATACAATTACTCATAGTTTATATAATATAACTTTTCAATACAAATGTCAATAGATAGATTAGATAGTTTTCTTTTACTAATATCTTAGAAGAAAACCAATATTTTTATATAACTTAGTAATATATATAAATAAAACAAGAAATGGAGAGATATATATATGTAAATACGGAATATTTATTTTTTTATTTTCAATACTTGTAGAATAGTATTTCTTTAATATATTTATTTTATAAAATTGTTGCAATACTGAAGTAAATTATATATATCATTGTAGAGCTTTTGTTTACAATTCTTACATTATTAATTTTCTTTCAGGATTTACTGCAGCCTTATGTACATTTATGCTATGGACTAAACAATTAATAATTGTATATCTATATTTAATATCTATAAGCGTGATATTCATATCATATTGGTCAAATGTTAGTACAATGAAAGCAATCATAGCTTACATGAATGTCCATGAGCCCACAACCAGCATTCTTGACAATATATTGAGTCTGAACTTATCACATGTTCTGTACAATGGTCCAGGGTTCCTCATTATTCAAAATTATATATTGCAATGCTTGCTCGCTAGCATCTTTTGTTATATACATCTCGCTCCAAGGCATCCTGTAGTTCAAAAACTTCTTGTGCTGAGTTTTATGGCACCATCCATTTTGGGTATACATCCTTTGCCGGTAAGTTTATGAAATTTAAGAAATTCTATATTATGAAGTACATAAATTGTACTGCATTATCATTACCATTCTTCTTAATCAGAAATTAAATAGAAGTTACATTAGAGAAGCAAAATGTATATTTTGTTTGATGTAACATTATATAAAATATATTTTCAGGTACAATATTTGTATCATGCTCCAGTATGCGCAACTCTCATCCCACTGGCTGTGTGTAAATTCATCATCTGGTATAATGGTATTACAATGTTCAAAACAATTTACACAGGGTGCCAACATGTGCGCAGCTTTATACTCAATTACGGCTTTTCTGCTCTCGCGGAAACGGAATGGATACGTCTGAACGTACCGTGTGTACTCCGTACATTTTGGATACTTCGAGTAGGAGAACAAATTGTACAAATTCTCGGAAATCACTACAGTGAAGAAACGTTTAATTATTACGTCATGATCAGGACATTGCTAGTAAACGGTTGCGAGACTTTGACTGCTGTTCTCGGCATGACCAGCATAATATCGTTCATCTGTCACTATATCGGCTGCTTCTTCCAGTGGGTATTGTTAACAGAAGATGAAGATGAGAAGAGCATTGGCACTGTATCTGCGATATTATTTTACATTCTCGCACTGCAGACAGGTCTGACGAGTCTCGACCGAGAAAAGCGTTTAGTACGACTTTGTCGTAATTTCTGCCTGCTATTTACGGCGATCTTGCATTTTGTGCACAACATAGTGAATCCGCTATTGATGTCGCTCAGTGCTTCTCACAACCCAATTTTACATAGACATTTACGGGCTCTGGCGGTTTGTGCTTTTCTAATCCTTTTCCCGGTGTCGTTACTCATATTTCTCTGGTCTCACTTTACAGTGAGTACATGGTTACTGGCTGTATCGGTCTTCAGCATCGAAGTAATAGTTAAAGTGCTAGTTTCGCTCGCGATATATTCGCTATTCCTGATTGACGCTTACAGAAGTGCGTTCTGGGAACAATTCGACGACTGTGTATATATCATCAGATCGTTTGGTAATACCGTTGAATTCACCTTTGGCATAATACTGTTCTTTAACGGCTTCTGGATACTGGTCTTCGAGTCTGGTGGAGCTATTCGAGCAATTATGATGTGCATACACGCATACTTTAATATTTGGTGTGAAGCGAAAGCTGGATGGAGTGTGTTTATGAAACGGCGAACGGCTGTGAACAAGATTAATTCTTTACCGGAAGCGAGCATCGAGCAGCTTCGACAATTGAATGACGTATGTGCAATTTGTTACCAGGAGATGGAAAACGCTAAGATTACTCAGTGCAATCATTATTTCCACGGTGTATGCCTGCGAAAGTGGTTATACGTTCAAGACCGATGTCCACTCTGTCACGATATATTGTACACCGTGGAGAACGCGCAAAATAGAGAGGACGGTAATCCTGCAATTGAAGAGAACGATATGGAAGACAATGTGCTTGGGCAAGTTGAACAAAATTTTCACGCTCTGTTTGGTCCAGATAATCCGCAACAGGATCCGAATGAAGACAGGTGAAACGGCATGTAGCATGTGATATAATAGAACCTGGACATTGAATAAACGAACTCACACAACTTAAATCATGAAGTGTCAGTGTCTAGAATCTCGCTCAAAAATTTCGCTCTTTGTAATTGCCCGGACTCTGTTGTAATGACGTCTCGTAAACTTGTATGTAACTTATTATATACAAAATCGAACTTTTCGTTCATTTTTTTGTAAAATAAGCGGGTTAGTGCAATTTGGAAAAGAAATTATACACGACGATTGTTGTACAATGAGGGGACGTTTCGCATATAATTTTAAAACATAATTTGGCTCAACTGACGCTGATTAGAAACATACTTTTGAATTATTGTTATAATCTTCATACGCTGTGTAACGCAATGTTACGAGCTTCTGTGTACATATAACATAACACATATACATGTATACGTACATACATATATATATATATATATATACATACATACATACATACATACATACATACATACATACATACATACATACATACATACATACATACATACATAACATACATACATAAAAACATACATACAATACATACATACATACATACATACATACATACATACATACATACATACATAAACATACAAATACAAATACATACATACATACATACATACACATACATACATACATACATACATACATAACATACATACATACATACATATACATACATACATACATACATACATACATACATACATACATACATACATACATATATACATAAATACATACATATATACGTATACACATACATGTCGTCTGTGCTTCCACTCTTTTATTTTTCTTCCTGCTAAATTAGCAAAACTTTACTTCCAAATTCACTTCCAAATATATTTCAGAATTTTATTTTTATTTTTATTCCCGGAGTTATGTTGTACAAAAAAGACACCTAAAACTTTGATTTTGTTATATGTATATATATATATATAATATAATATATATACTACAATATATATTATATAATATAATATATAATAAAATACAATAAATGTTATATATATAATGAATTAAACGCACGAACGCGATTTAATATTATTAAGTATAATGTAAGAATAAAGAAGACTGGAGCAAATCGGTTTTTTTTTTTTCCTCGAAATGTCGAGTGAGCTATAGTTTCTATCAAACTGAATGCTATTGGTAATGATCATAAATATATATCATTACCAATAGCATTCAGTTATATATATATATATATATATATATATATATATATATTATATATATGTATATGTATATATATGTATGTATATAAGATTCTATACACATTCATTTTACTTTTATGAAATAGAGATATATATCATGTAAGATGATTTATTGGTGTTAAAATTGAAGATAATAATTGATTCACTATCTCGGATATATTTTAGCTCTATCTATGCTCTTCAAACAGATAAAAAATTCACTAATCAATCACCTATATCTAAATCAATAACTCATATTATTATCCTTTAAGTCTAATTTAAATGGTCTATAATTTACGACAAATCCTGAGGCAAATTTCTAATTAGAATTATATTTGCCATATGAATTTAATAACAGAGTTTCAAGATGAATACCCATGTATAAATATATATATATATATATATAAATTTCGTGAATTATAGATAATCTAAAGTGGGCTTTAATAGTCGCTATATTTTCTGCATAATTCGTGATTATTGATGTGTCGAACAGATTACTATTTGAATATAGAACAATTAAGATATTACATATACACACACACACACACACACATCTGTATAAGTATATATGTATGTATGTATGTATATATAAGTTACATAAATCATTTATTTTTATTAAATATTGTATAAATTATATATTTATATTTAATAAAATTACTAAATTTTATTAAATATAACATTGCAAATATGATGACTTTGATGTACTCTATACATCAAAATGCTGTAAAATGTATATAATAATGTAATTAATAAGTAACGATTGAAGAAATGTTCCATATATATATACATACACATCTATTTTTCGCCATACACGCCATTTTTTCCGTTTTCTCGTTACAAATTGAACTTATAAATTCGTATAGCGGCTACAAAAACGCAAAATTGTGATGAACTGTATGAATTTATATGTTAATAATTTATAATAGATAAATAATTTATATATTTTTATTTCTTTAGAGTATTATCTGACATTCTAATAGATTAACTTTAACGCTTAATTTTACCTTACGCGTAATTTTATTTCATGGCTTAAAATTAAAACTATCATTGACAGATTATCTTCTGTGTCTCTTTCGCACTCTTAATAAACTGTTATTCATTACTGCTACTTTAAAAATCGTCAATTATAAATTTACATGATATATTTTTAACGATATATACAAAAAAGTATACAAAGATTTTGTGATAAATAAAAAGGCGATATGTCCGATTTAGTTAACTCCCATATGTTTTATTGATCGCCGTCTTATTCTCAGCTTAATTAGCTTAGCCGAGAAATTATAAATTTATAACGAGGAGCTCACACAGAGAGGGAGTACGTTGAATAAAAATTACATTTCTACAAATAGCGCAATTTCTTTCCTTTCGCCTCTCACAAAGATTCACAATTCCTCTTACCGCTGAACGATACTCGATCTCGATCGGAGGTGCAAAGAAAGTGGTTGTACTTTTCGTTCGGAGATTAGCTATCTCGAGCACAGTGCGCGTAAGAATAGCGATATCTTTTTTCGCGGCTGATTTGTACTCCGTAGCGTCTCGGAGTAGCGCCATATGACGCACCGAATTTACTTCGAACGCAGAGAATTATGCGTGGTACTTTCGCGCGATTAAAGTAACTCGACCGACGATGAAGCTAGCGGGTCAAGGACGGATTATCACGCGGATCCTTTGCCACGTGTTGAAGCATAGATCGATAAGAAATCGCGCACGGTGTATGCGACAGTCTTTACACTGGCTGCTGATGTAGGCGCTACGCAGTTGTAGCTGCATCTCGCCATATCGCGAGATGTTGTTGCCAATACCTCAAAACGGCCAGATCTACACAAGACGCTTTTGCCTCCCACTCTTCGCTTTGTGTTTTACATTACGCAGTGTTTAGCTCGGTTCAAGAAAGTCTCTCAGTCGCGTGCGTACTATCGTCGGACGCGGATCTACCACGTTCTCCGTTCTCTCCGATCAACTTCAAGGTGCGGGAGCGAAGCGACACGAGTAAGCAAGCTTTTCTTCCGATACGGGATTTCCCGTTAACTGAGCCGCGCTAGATTGCATTCATCGGATTAAGTCGTACAGAATCCGTAGTGTCTCGTCGCGATTTTCGGATTCGCATCCGAAGCCGAGACCTCACATTTACAAATTCACAAATCTCGGCTTGACAAGCGAGCGAAGAGTCAGCGTAGCTATTCTCGGCGAAAGAAAAATTCAATTTCATTCAGCAGCGATATTTATGGAGAACATTTGCGCTTGGGAAATCTCTTCGATATCATGTAGAGCGTGCATGACACTTTTGCACGATCGATCTATTTGTCGGCTTGATCGAATATAAAGACCGGAGACACTCTCTGTGTCGAGTTCAAACGACGTCTGGTGCACTCGCAATGTTTCGGGGCAAAATTTAAAGCAACAATCGGTTAGGCTAATTGTTGCGATATCGTTATGAAATATTGAAGACGTTCGTCGTCGCGGACGATTCGAGCGCGAGGATTTCGCTGTAATTTTATGGCGATAATAACGCGATAGAAACGCACGTCTCGAAGACGAAAACGCACCGTTTGTTTCCTCAGTCCCAGTGAAAGATATCGAGACGCGCGACGCTTGCGCTACTTCGCACGCGAATCGTGCATTCGACAAGGCTGAATGGGAGAATGGGACAACCGCGCGCAGGCCTTTCTTACCGGTGGGCATGCGAGAAGGGCTTTTTTTCATAGCGCACGCAGCGAGAACGGCGAACGCAAGCACGCGCTATCAGCATTCACGCGAGAACGAGCGGCACCGATTCGCATTGCGATTCTCGCGCCGCTAATTGCAACTCGGTAGGTCGCACTCGCCATGTCGATCGAGTTGCACGCTCGAACGAGACATCAACGACAGTCGAATGTAACTGAACGCGCGCGCGCGCGCGCTCGCGACGCGTGAAGAATGTGACGACGTGCTAAACACGGCGTTACATTTCGGATCGCGAAGCTCGACGACAACGGCGAGCATCGTCCGGACCAGTATTTTGATTAACTTACCACGATGATTGACCACGTTGACCTTCATTGATTGCATAAAAGCAATTAGTTAGGTTTTAACTGGTGGTCGAATTATCAAGGATACGATACGTGTTACGGAAAAAGGTCAGACGAAACGATACGAATCTATAATTAAACGATTATAAAGCTCTTTGATTAAAATAAAATTGAATGATTTTTGTAATTATGAATTAAATTAATAAAATGATGAAAATAAAATTAAAAAGTACGTAATAATGGTAAATATATAATAAATAATAATATAATAAAGTACATAAAAAATATATACGCGGTGTATGATATAATATATATTTTAACAATGAGTCGTGTGTAAAGTCCAAATTGCAAGTCTAATTAGTATATATTTACTCAGTATTACTTAAATCAAATTGAGCGGAATCAAATTACAAACTCCGAATCTAATTAAACGAACTCAGTTTCAAGATAATATAAGATAATATAAGGTAAAAGATGAACTAATTGCTTCAATTCTGTAAACGTATCTTTTGAACGCAGTCAACTATATTTTATCACGGAGAGAAAAGTTTAGTTGAATTAACGTGAAAATGAACAAATCAAACGCACTTTGATTGAAGGGAACTGGGAGGTTCTGGTTACTACGTATAAATTCGGGGTTCAAAGAACCAGAATTGTTTTCCTTCGTTTTGTTTGTTCATTGCCGTGTTAACTCCACCAATTCTTCCTCTTTATGACGGGTAATTCAACAGAACGCGTTAGTAAATATTATAGTGTAGAGACGACCATCATTCATTGCACTAGCGGACGACGCCTTTTTGTCACGTTAATGTCTATTAGACGAACTGCGAATTGTGATTGGCGTGCGCTACTTTGAACCTCAACGAAAGCACGGAAAGTCACGCGTGTGTCGCGCTCTCCTTCGCGATTCTCCCGCGGTTATTAATAAAAGCGTCCTTGTCGTATCACGCTACGCGAAGCTATTGCGCCGGTTTCCTCCGCGGGGCGAGGCTGTCTCACGGCCTGTAATCAGTCGGTGGATCTTCGTCGAGTTAATTAGAAGTGAGGGACGAAAGGGTTCCCGGTTAAGCAGTAGCTCGCGCAAAGGTGGCGGGTCTTAATTCGAGACTTTCTCGTTAATGAAACCGCATCACCTGGCGGCGGTTGCGTTTTCGCGCGCAGAGGAAATTCGCGCGCGTCGACAACACATCTTCTTCTCTGACAAGACAACGGGATGGATCTTCTTTTCTTCGTCTTCTTCAATTCTGGCCCGGATCAAATAGGGGTCTTCTTTAACGGGAATTGACACCGAACGAAATGTCAATTCGGTTCGACTCGATTCGACTTTAATTTCGCAATCGATATATCGCTATGTCGCGAATCGATATATCACGAGACGAGTTGTGTTTGAAGATTCAAGCTGACTCGCTGAATTCTGATATGTTTTCCTCGCGGAGTAAAAAAAGATTTGATTTGAGTTTGTGTGTGCCGCGTCTATCTTGGATATGTTTCCGAGACGATTCGTGAACGTTCCAATTCGCTTCTTCAGAAAGAGGTACACCCACAAACTGTTCTGTTTTTGTCCTGGCTCCGTTCTGGTCTTGTCATAAAGAGTTTCTGGATTCCTCTGCTTGAAAAAGTGAAGTGGGATATTAACGAAATGTCAGAAACAAATCTAAGATGGACGCGACACATATACGACAGATCCAGAAATCAAATAAAATATTTCGCTAAATTCTGATTACTAATCAACACTAATAGACGCTAATCAACAATTAATTGAACTAGCAAAATTGTCAACATGGAAAATCAAGTACAATCTGTTGTTACAACCAGTAAGAAACTAGTAAATAAAGCAAAATTAGTAAAACTGTGATAAAAACTAATAAATAAAATTTTCTTGTTCTCACTTCTTACAACTTATATTTGAATTAACTCAACCAGCAAAAATGCCGTGGAAGATAAAACAAAATTATTAAAGAGCGTATAAAAGAATTCTCCTTTTTATTCTTGCTTCTTATAACTTATATTAAATAAGATAATAATAAAATCGAAACACGTTTGAATCGATTACATGAATTTATTACAAGCATCACAAATTGTATCTAATATTTGTTTTTTTATTTTTATTTATCGGTTGTATAGTTGAAAAAGCTTGTTACTTTATTTCTCTCTTATATTTAAAATTGCGATTGGTCAAGTATTAGTTATTCTATTTTGTTAACATAAAGAATTAATTTTTTAAATCAAAAAGTTGAATTTTCTGATTGTCAAGTTACATAGTTGGAAATTGTTGTTGGTAACTCTGCTGGTTGATTGTTGCCTGCTTTAATAAGGTTGCGAAAGCTTGTTGTTATTTTATTTCTTTCTTATATTTAAAATTGCAATTGGTCAATTATTAGTTATTCTATTTTGTTAACATAAAGAATTAATTTTTTGATTAATTAAATCAAAAAGTTAAATTTTCTGATTGTCAAGTTACATAGTTGGAAATTGTTGTCGGCTAACTCTGCCGGTTGATCGTTGCCTGCTTTAACAAGGTTTTCAGTGAAAAAGAACAACCTCGCTGTCGCGCGTGAGACAATCGGGGAAAATCTTCGCGAATACGCGCGCAGTGAAGACACGGTGGTTATTTTTGCGTATCGTGCATCGTGAAATGCCCCACGTTGCATGACGAGAGTCATTATCTTAATACTCGGAAATGCCGCGAGTCTTTGAGAGGCAGTCGGCAGCCCCGACACGATTCGGTAACTTCCCCGATAGCCGATGGGAAAAGCGAAGGACAGAAAAGATAAGGATACGTCCGAGAGGCTTGTTATTTCCGTAAAACACACTGTTGAACTGCGAATCAGATGAAACTACTCGTCCGCTTCAGTCTTTACTACGTCGTCGGGGTGATTTCAATTATATAATCTCGCGGTACCTTGCCAATACCGCGACAAACGCTCTTTGCGTATCGCGAACAAGGACAGTGAGGCCCGCTAATTCGATTAAAGTGTCGCCATGCGGCAAGTGTGAACGCTTGAAAATCGAGCGGTAGGGGAATGGAACAGGAGTACGTCTTGAAGAAACGGTACCGAGCACTCGAGAAACTCCGACTCGGCTCGGTTCGGCTTGGAAAAGGAGGACCTCATGTCGGGGTGCAACGTACCATGACGGTCGTCCGTCATTGTCGATTTCCGCGTGTCGTCGCGTACGTAATACCGTATGGCGGTACGGTGTAAATAGCTCCTGCGAGGAGCTTGCGCCGCACGGGAGTTTTCGTTGCGGAAGAGATAAAAAAGAAAAGAGAGAGAGAGAGAGAGAGAGATTTTCTACAAGTGAAGTCCTTTCATGATTACGATGACCACATGAAACAGAAAAAATCTAATTATATACACAAAGAGAGTGACAGTACGTACTAACAATTAAGCAGAAAGGAGCAGAAGAAATTAACAGACATTAAAAATGAAAGAGAATTTATATTTTGCGCAGGAAAATATTATATACAGCATGCACTCAAGTTACTTGTTTATTCTGAATATTTCTGATTTCATGTTTCTTTAAATTATAAGTTTATGAAACATCAACTTTACTCAAAATATATTCTAGACTTCAAAGTTTAGTAATTTAACAAAGAATATTTAATTAAAGCAAGAATGTTAAGTTAAAAAAAATTCGGTTTGCTTGTTCCCTAACATATAGAGTAAGCATTTTATAATAGTTTTAAAAAGAGAATATATTCTTCTTTCGAATAGATGATAATATATTTTCTCAATATTTGTGATGACTATTTCTTAAGGATATTATCAAGAAGATATTTTTTGTTAAAGCCATTCACTCACAAAAACGAAAAGTAAACTTAATAATCGCTTTTCTTATTAATAGAATAATATTTTTCTCTGTGTATAAAGCTATGAATATACCGCAAATATATGTCACAATTTTAACAATAACGCTAATATAATTATTATTAGTTTTAAATTTTATCTTACTCTTAATTATTGATCTATCGATATTATTAATCTGTTACTATTGATTAGTGTTATTTATCTATGATTAATTTGTTATTATTAATCAATATCATTATTAATTGATTGCTGTTTTGATATCTTGATAGCAGCATAATTAACGATATAAATTGTAAGACAATGGCAAAGAGTAAGAGAAAGAAGCCGCGAGTGTGCAACCGCCAATTCTCCTTTTCTCCTCGCTGCGCTCGCGATTTCTTCATGGAGCGCGCGATTTGCATTTCCGGCCGCACACGAATTTGTTTGTCGGCGTTGTGAACGCTACCTAACACAGGAGCCAGTTGTTAGGTGAAAAGGAGCCATGGGGCAAGAGGGAGACCGCGGGAGCGAGAAAGCGAAGCAATTACTTTGCCTCTCCGTTTAGATCGTTCGCGGAGTTTCGTTATTACTTTTTTTGCGAGGCATTAAAGTCGGTCGCCACGTCGGGTCCATACGGTCCGGCCGGCTTTTCCCACGGTCAGTCGACACCCGGTAATTCCGATCGATCGTTTCCTCGCGTAAGATCGTTTCCCTCGTAACCATTCTCTCCACCGATCGCCGATTAGTCGAGCTCGTGCTTTTGCACGCGCGTAATAACGTTGAGCAACCGTGCGTACGTGTGTACATACGTGCGCTTGTGCGAGAACAGAGACAAAAGTATCGAGATTCGCGATTTCCTCGGGCTCGATCGCAAATGAAAATCGCAGGCTGGCGACTGCGAAAGCCGCCTGCGCGAGGAATCGTTTGCCAAAAAATGGCAACCATCACGCGCTCACCCGGGATGAATACTCCTAACGGACTCTGCCCGCGACACTGCGCCGAGGAAGGATCATTCATCGGGATCTCGGGATACCGTCGTGCCGAGCATCGAGATCTACCGTATTTAGAGCAGCTGGCACGTCCGACGACTCGCGAGGTCTTCGGAGACGTCCAACTGGACAGACTCTAGTACTTACCCGAAGCGAATCGGCTCGGCCGGCTACCTTTATTGTATCGCTGCAACGTAAATCGACCTCCTCTCCGTCCGCTCCTCGGTATATCGTCGTTACGTAAAATTCGCAGCGAGACTTCCTGCCTTTCGGTGGTCCAGTATAACGAGGAAGACGACGTCGTTTCGGGGATATGCCTCTGCAATTATCCCAACGTACCGTCTGTACCGCCGGACGACTGGTTGACTTGGTTAAAGACGACTCACAGGTGATCCTCCGTAGCTCCTCGCTGTCGGTTGTTGCCGACGAGACACGGTGAAGCCTTAATCAGACCTCGCGACAGTTACGATCGATGCGTCACCCCAATCGACGTGGATCAATTCTCGACTTTTATATTCCGCAACTGCCGCTAGTTCAACCTCGGCAGCATAAATGTCCACGCGGAAGAGACTAGTCTGTCAGTGTAACTGAATTTTCTGAAAGTTGGTTGTAGCGGCTGTAAATTTTCTCTGGGAAGTTTCTGCTCGGTTGATCGCTTTCCGTTATCTGATCCGAGTTTTACCGCTTAAGTTAAACGCTTGTTTTCGCTTGCGATGACGAAGATATCATTTCTTGTCACCCGGTTTGTTTGGTCTTTAGTCGAACGAATTGAGATACATATTTTCTCTCGTCTGAAGGATGTTTTAAAAATGTCCCGCTTCTTTTCGCTTGGACGTCTTTGAAACGTCTTGCGTGTCTCTAAGAGACTATTAATGCCCAAATGAAAGGATGACATTAGGTGACATATTAATGACGAGTTGATGACCTATTATGACGTTCATAATATCAATAATACATCATTTGACATTATGATTGCTAAATAGTAATTACTCAAAACTTGTGTCATGTAAGACACTTCGATTTAAATCTCAAATTGGGATTTTTCCGATTGTGTTTTCGCGATTACAAATGTAATGTGCCGTCTATCGTATGACTCAGCTGAAAAGTTCAGATCTAACTCTAAACTCAAATCTGAGTATTTGACGTGTGACGAATTTCAAGTGATGTTCATACGACTGTTTATAAAACTGTTCATACGGGCGTAAAACGCATTTTTGCTGTCCGGGAAGGACTAGCTTAAGAGGGGAATTACATGCGGAAGACCGTTTTCAAGGTTATTTTTAAGAATTTTGTTAACAGAAACGGTAAGATTAATGGACTTGAAATTTTCACAGTGTATTCATTAATATTCAAAGTATAAAATAAATTTTATTAAATCACAAGGACCGATCCAATTTGTCATTATAGATAGAAATACAGTCATCTGTTTGTGAGCTCCATGTTTGCTGTCGACATAATTCCGGACCTCTCACTACTCTGAAACCAAAAAATGAGAAAGATTTTTTAAATATACGGTCCGTACTAAAATGAAGGCAGTGAAGCCAAGTTTGGAAAAATAATGACTGTACAAAAAAAATATCGAAAATGAAACTTTTTTCAACTTGTAATCATGTCTGAAAAAAATGAATAAAATAAAATATAACTGTGTTCGAGGTAGGGGCGAAAACTTCTCTACTGTATATTATAATATGTAAAAATTTCAAATTATTCGGTTCAGTAATTTTTGCATAATCGTGTTGACAGTTTAAGAAAATAGTGTTTCCAGATAAACGCGTTTAAAGTTTTATGTGTACTTTCCATATATTATAGATAGTAACTTTATTTTATACTTTAAACATTAATGAATACTGTGAAAATTTCAAGTCCATTGATCCCACTGTTTTTGTTAAAAAAATTCATAAAAATAATCTAGAAAACGGCTTGCTCCGCATGTAATTCCCCCCTTAAGAACCAGCTGCGACGAGTCGATTTACTGGAGCGACGTGATTTCCGAAAAGGATCCTCGCCGCCACGGAAAGGAACACGATGTTCGTCCACTGGCTCGTGTGGGACGAGAATTACTCGGATCACTTCCTCAAGGACCTCCTGGCTGCCCTCTTCGATATCACCACCTATTGCCAGCACGTGATCCTCGTGATACCTCCTCGGGTTGCACCAGGTGACCTCTCCTATCGATCCTCCTGAATGGTGCGCCACAAGGCGAGGCAGTTCGGGTTAGAAGAGTCCCGTATAATTTTCCAGCGGACGTGTTCGAGCGAGAGATGACGAGAATCCCGGCTGAGGGCGTCCAGGATATCGAGGCGGCGCAATCCTTGTATCTGAGCGATCGCAGTCAGTTCCGTCAAAAGTTGAAGATACGGAGAATCGTGTGAGGATCAGTCTCGGGTTTCCGCTTCGGGTTGTACGCTGGCTGGATCGTCATTATCCGTTTAGACGGCGGCAGGTTTGAACGAGAATCCGTCAATCCTCCGTCAAAACATTCTTCAATGCTTCTGCATTGAGATATTCACAGATGATCCGTCACCGTCACATCTCAGTCATTCCAATTCGGAAAAAATTTGACGAGGGATTTACGGGCTCCTGTCTGCTCGTCGTCTCTATACGGCTGCGAGAATTCAGTGATGTGGCTTCTGGCTACTCGCTGTGGCCGTCTTGATTTATGACAGAGGTAAGAATGCGCATTTAAAATTCCTGCAAAATATATTTGAGTACAAACATATATTCACGAAGTGACATTTGGAGTCGGTCGAGCAGATTTGTAAAACAGCCCAAACACTTATCTATTTGTTCTAATAATCAATAAATAACCGTAAAATGTGACTAAATCATAAGAAAAAGCAAGTTCGAAAGATAGACGTCATATATAACACTCAAAAAAGGTGTTCTATTTAGTAAGTAAAGTGATTTTTCCCATAATCTCATATTCTAAGCGAAGTCTTTTACAAAAAAAGGATTCCTCTTTCAATAAAACGATTCAAGTGAACTATTCGTCTAAAATTTATTAGATATTATTCTAAATGTTTTCCTCTTATTTCAAGAGGATTTCCTCTTATATCAATTTTCTTCTTATACTTTCCTCTTATATATCTTATATAAACTTTCCTCTTATATGATGAGGAATATGTTGGAATGTCGACTTTTGTTCAGTCGTACTCTACCTCCAGACATGAACGACAAAATAATCATATACTCATGAATCAGAATATTTGGAATACTTTTTAAAAAAGGTACGTGTGTTGCTGTAACATATAACGAAGATAATTTACCCATATTTGGTCAAATACAGTTTATAATCTATTGCAAGAAGTTGAATAATATATTTTTTCTTTTAACTATGTTTCATACAATTGGTTATGATAAACATCTTTGTAGCTATGAAGTCCATAACAAAACTGATTGGAAATTTATTTGTTATGATGATCTTTTTTCATTCGTGTCTACTTATTGTAGATTGTAGAAATATACCTATACATATATTACTTTTCGCTATATATTATAATAATTTTTTCGAATTAACTAGTATAAGCAGTGAGAATAAAATAAGTAAGAATAAATAATAATCCTCTTAAGAAAAGATTAAATAATCTGTGTATAAGAGGAAATTTATATTAAAATCAATAAGATTTACATTATGTATATAACATATAATTCCTCTAACTTTAAGAATAATATGTTTACAATATTTTCCTCTTAATCTTAGAGGAATTCTTTTGAGGTCATATGAGAATAAAATCCTCTAAAATTTAGATGATTCCGCTTCTTCTGAAATTACTTTTTTTGAGTGAATATCACGTTAATTTCACAATAATTTATTGACTGAAACTTAATTTGTCAAATTTGTTAAAACAAAAGGAAAGTGGCTCGGGCTGTTTTACAAATCTACTTGATTGATTAGGTACGATTTTGTGGATACATTTGTTTATTTCATTATATTATTTTGCAAAAATCTTGAATGTACATTTTCCCGCTTCTGACGTCACCAATCGAGAGATTCGCGGCGAGTAGCTAGGAGCTTCAATGCTGAATTGAATTAGCCGTTCAGAAGGCGGCAGGCAGGACGCCGTCAGGCCTCTGTCAAATTTTTTTTTTAAACAGGAGTGATTATATATAACATGTGACGGTGACGGATGCTGTGAATACTCCAACGCAAAATCATTGAAGAATGTTTTGATGAAGAATTGCAGGCGCCGTCTAGGCGGATAATGCGAATCCAGCCTTAATCGCTACTCGAAGGCTACTACAGCGCGAAGGCTGCGAGTGTTTCGTGTAACGCTTCTGTGAAAATAATAACGACGCAGAGAAGAAGACAACGACGACGTGATACCGATTATCGACGGCGAGACGACGCGCCTGAGAGAGCTCTACGGGGAGTACTACATCAGTGAGATGATTCGTTACCCGGATGGCTGCCGTCAGCTGATCATCGGCGAAGATATCGACGGCTCGGCAGCGGGTGCCATGTGCCTGAACTCTACGATCGACATCGATCTGCTGAATGAGAACTTCGAGTTGACGGCGTACCACGGCCTCCGGAAACCTCACGAGAACGACGAAGAGCCATCCGACGTCGCGAAGTCAACTAGCGAGCTTCTGCAATTTGTATTTTCGCAAATGTCGTGCGAGCACACTGCGAGATCATCGGGCCGAAGCTCGAACGATAATTCTTTCCATGAGCGACAGGCGACGGAAGCAACCGATGACAAACGGTGCTCCGAAGAAACGGGTTGGTGCATCTTCGTCACACCTTGACGATTGAATACCGCGCGCTCCATTGTGGTAGCGAGATGAACGGGGTAATTATTAAGAGAGCTGATATTTCTTCCGAAGGTCTAAACGACCAGAACGAAAGCGGGGAAGATCCTCCCGCAAATGCACGGCTGGGAACGATTGTTTCATCGAACGTACCGACGAAACGCGAGGTCTCCTTTCAGCAAGATGTCGAAGTCGACAACGACGACAATCCGGTGTGTCAGCGATCGTGTTCGCATCAATGGCATTTTCAACATTTGCCGACCCTAACAGAAATTTATTACTGGTGATTTATTACTCATACGAGTAATTTTATTTATAATAAATTGGCCAGTAATTTTATTATTTGTGCGAGTAATAAAATTATTTATTATCACTGGCCAATTTATCACAGCTAAGAATAAATTTCTGTAAGGGGATGCCTTTGTGTGATACCAACGTTATCGTCACTTAATTTCTAGCAATGTTACTGTTAAAATTACTGAGAGTCAAGTTAACGTTACTCAAGGCGGCAGTTCTGTTACTATTAATGCTACTAAAGATTAAGTAACATTACTGTTTCAATGTTACTACAGTTTAAGTAATATTATCATTAACGTCACTTAAAATTAAAATAACGTTGCTGCTTTCAACATTACTGCAAGTCAATATTATCATTAACGTTATTCGAATTTAACTGGCGATACTATTTTTTAATGTCACTACAAATTAAGTAATATTATCATCTACATATTAAGTATCGTTATCGTTACTCAAAATCAAGTAACATTGCTATTTTTTGACGTTGTTACAAATTAAGTAATGTTATCACTAACGTTACTCAAGATTAAATAACGTTACTATCACGGTTAAGTAAAGTTACTATTAACGTTTTATTAGAATTTATGTTAAAGTTTCTAAAAATTAGGCAATATTCAAAATTTGATACCGTTACATATACACACATTCTCTCTCTCTCTCTCTCTCTCTCTCCCTCTCTCTCTCTCTCTCTCTCCTTCTATTAATGTCACTCAAACAATCAAGTAACATTGCTATCTTTGACGTTGATACAAATCAAGTAATGTTATCACTAACGTTACTCAAGATTAAGTAACGTCGCTATCAAGATTAAGTAAAGTTATTATTAAATCGTTTTATTAGAGATTCCGCTATTAACATTGCTAAAAGTTGAGTTAACAGTAACATTATTCCAAAAACAGACGTTACGTGACGTGCGAACGAACGTTCCTGATTCCACGGAGTCCATCGACCCGATGGCTTCGGCTCAGTCTCCCGAATCAGAGGAGCTCTGTAAATCGCGCTCGGATCAAATTGCGAGACCGGATGTACCGTCAACGGACGTCGGTGATCTACCGTCAATCTTGAATGACGTCGACGTGCAATTCCACTCGAAGATGCAAGCGAGTATTCTCGCCGAGGCGATGCTCGAGCTATCCCGTGAGTCGCGGACAGAGAGCGCGTTGCTTTTCTCCTCGTATGATTCTTTTAATCATGTAGTCGTGAGAAGAGAGTGCGTGAGTGGATCGAGATGAGGGATCATGGGATAATAACACACGATACAGCGTGCTTTACGTAACGTGTAACGCGACGCTTTCTCGCAAGGAAAAAGGAACGCTCCTCTACTTGCCGTCCAAGTCGACGAGACGGTGCAGTCGCGACTCATCCACGACCTTCTTCCGCCTCCGACGTATCACGGCGAGAAAAATGCTTTCATCCTGGAGATCTTCGCGATGCGCGATGGAATGAGACCCCATTGGTCCTTCGATTTCTTGGAGGCAGCTTTCGACAGCTTCCCGGACTTGGATTACTGCGTGGTCCTCCTCCCTTCCACGCGACCACCCCAGAAGTACCTTCAACATTTCATGGTACTTGTCGAGATTTCTTCCACTAGCGAAAGAGAAAGAAAAAGACAAGATGGAACGGGCACTTATCTCACTCTTGAAACGAACGTCACGCGAACATCTCGTGCGAACAGCGCGTGCCGTTCAGATGCAACAAGGACTTCCCGATGATACTGTACGTCCTGCACCGAGCGGTTCTCTTCGGGGAGATCAAGTGTCGTCGCGCCGAAGTACGAGATCGAAATACCGTACAAGGACTCTTAGCCGCTATGCCGACGAAGCATGAAACCCTGGCTGACTTTGACCTCGCGATGGATCCTTTGCAACTCGATCTGGATTGTTTCGTCTTTGAATGCAACGACACGATGCTCGGGCTCGCTATACTGAGGTTATTATTCTATATAAAGGCACAGAGCATCCCAAAACTATCGTACAATGTTTCCATTTATTCTGGAGCTGAATTGGAAAATTCTACTACGAGAATCATCGTTGCAAATTTCCGATTTTGAATTTTGCTTATCTCAATATTGTACATCAGTAAGTTTTTTTCGTCGGTTCTGTTCAGGTGTGCTCTATGAAACCAGCTAAGAAGTGCAATTCTCACTCATTCATTTTTTATGTTATTCATTTAGCTCCCTAAAATTTATCAAGGTTGGGAAGTAACTTGTTACTTGTAACGAAGTTACAATCACAGTTATTTTTCTTTTGGTAACTATAATTTAACTTCGTTCCGTTTCTTTCGTCTGTAACTTAGTTATATTTATTTGATAACTAGTAACTAATCTAATAGTTACTTTATATATTTGAAACTTAAGTTTCTGGCAGACCAGCATGATAACGCGACGTGTGATGTTTGATATCCAGTAAGCATACAGTTATTCTGGTTGCATTTGGAGAACTATTATGTCATCTATCCTTATCATTCATTAGATGTAAAACAAGGATGAAATGATGCAATAGTGCTGATAGTCTCCTCTCCGAACGCAACCTATATTTCTTTCAAAAGAATTGTACGTCTATTGGACATTTCTGTTGCGCGTCGTCAGTCCTTATTTGTTAACATAACCTGCAACGTGAAGTGGTTTCAATTATATAAAAAAATTCAAGCAATAGATAAAACATCTTAATCTTCGGCGAAGGATTGTAAAATGCCATGGCCAGTATATGCAGAAATATTCGAGTTACGGCAATAATTTTGAAATAAGAACAACTGGTCATTTCTCTGCAAAATATGCGCTGGCAAAAAATTATTCATGCAAGTAGAACTTCAACTGCAAATTTAAGAAAACATATGAATGTAAGTCTTTATTTATAAAATATCAATATATTTTTTAGTGAAAAAATATAATTTTTGATGTTAAAATTACTTTTAGTATTTTTAGTATTTATTATTCTCATCAAATTCATTCACTTTCTCATAATTGTTACTAATAGTCTTAAAGAATAAATATGAATTGCTTATTTCAATTAATGAATATAATTTGTATAAATTATATACAATATGAGGAATATAATAATCAACAAACTACCTTCATATAAAATTGCAGAAATTTACACTATCACAAAATTTAAAATAATAATTATTGCACAATTATTGTAAAGAAATAACTGAACGAAGTAACGACTCATTACTTTCTAAATAACTGTAATATGTTATTCTTGAAAATCAGTAACTTGTAACTGTAACTAGATACTTTTACAAAGTAACTTCCCCAACCCAGAAATTTATAGTATCAAGTTGTTCGTCTCGCTGATGAGATAGAATGAAATATTCACGATAAATTGAAAACAAAATCACAAAAAACCCCGATTGCAACCTGAAAGCCAAATCCGTCTCTAAAAGTTTGGCATGAAAATTTAGCATTTCCGAGATTTAATTCGCTAAAAGATCGTCCTTACCAGCTTATAATTCGGAAAATATTGTTGTATTAGGATTTTCGTCCCCAATTGAACATATGGTATTGTACGATATTTTCGAGACACCCTGTACACGCACGTACACCTGTCAGTGAAAATATGAAATTTCGCTCGAAAGTCGGTAACACAGTACTCATCACTTCGTCTTATCTCACATACACAAGCACAGCGTTGAGAAACAAGTCGACTTCGTTAGAAGCCGTTACCATGTAGAAGATTATGTGTCTATGCAAAGCATTCATCAAGATGATTACGGACGCCTCTTGCATTTCGTCCTTACGCCGATTTTCTTCGCTTATCATCGCTTCTTCTTCCGCGAGATCGCGCGTTTGAGTGGATTAACGGTAATCTTCTATCGACTTCAGCACGAAGATGAGAGTGCACTGGTGAGCTGCGCGATAATAAAGTCGTGATCTGCGCGAGACGTTTCTGTTAGAAATGAAAGCATCGAATTTTGCACATCCTTTAATACGGTGTGTATCACTTGCAGACACGGAAGCGTCCCTTGGCATCTTGCCTGAGCGACATGATTCCCGTTAATCCCCGTAAACAAGCCGGATACAGGTTCCCAGTTATTTCAGAGAAAATCAACATGACGGAGGTTGGCACAAAAGACGACGATATGTTCTCCCTGTTTATGACGTCGCCGCGACTGGCGATGATGCCTCGCGTGATGATCGACCTGAGAATCGTCATCGTCGGAGCGTCGAATTGCGGTGTCGCTCTTGCAGAGTATCTCGCTTTACGGTAAATTTATCAGCCATAATACGTGCAGCTGCTATGCCGAATGATCTTGTATAAGCGAAACATGCGCGGCCGAGATTGCAAAGATTGCGCTCTCTCTCTCTCTCTTTCTCTCTCTCTCTCTCTCTCTCTCTCTCTCTCTCTCTCTCTCTCAGCCGCTGATAAGGCTGATGTAGAATCCCCGTAGATCGATGTGCCGTTATACGAACCTCACGCTCATATCGCCGCATGGTCTGCCGTTTGATAAGGAACGAAGTCCCGTGGAAACGTCGCTACTTCCGTTCCGAGGCACATTTTGCCCGGAATATCGTCGCTGCGTAGCCGTGAGGACCTGGGTTAATATCGTTTACGGGACTATGACAGCGATCAACAGGTAGCGGCCTTGGCTAACCAATATATAATCGTGGACGGATAGTTTTATTTTCTTCGCGAGCAACACTGAGAAACTTGCGGGGAATCAACATTTGTTGATTCAAGGACTGTAACTAAAAGCTACCAATGAAACAACAAAATGAAACCGTTGCGTCTTTAAATAACACTTTAGTCGTTTCTGAGAAAATATATTATAAATTGAATCATAAATTCATAAATCAGAAAAAGGAAGATTAAAGTTAGAAGAATATAATACAATTAAAAGAACAAATGTTTTTGTAAAATTATAATATCATGAAATGATGATAATCAACGCATTCGCACAGAAAAGATAAACCACTCGTGTAATTGATTTTCTATTATCGAAAGACTAGAAGACACAGTTTGTAGAAATTGAAAATTTTCTGTAGAGTTTTTATCCAGTTCCTTCGTCGTTCGTTCTTCCTGTGAGTTATTTTAAAATAACTCGACCTTTAAAACAGTCGTCAGCGTGACCAGCGACAGTTTAAACTGTTACTCGCCGACATCTTCGAAATTGATAATTAATATTAGATATTTATTTGTTAGATTTGCGCGAATATTCTTTATTCCTTTATAATCAAATCATAATTACACTACAACTAAACTGTCAATGAAACAACAAAATTAAATGTCATTGTTGCATCATTAAATAACATCATTTAATCGTTTCTCAGAAAGTATATTATAAATTGAAATTTTTCCATAAATTTCAGATAAAAGTTTTAAAGTGAGAAAGAAGTATAACACAAAATTAAAAGAACAAATCTGTTTTTCTGAAATTTAGAATAACAAATGTTCAAAATTCTTTTTCCAACAAAATCAACTTTGCGCATTTAGCTTAAAACATATATTTTTAATTTATTGATTTATTTATTTCCAATGTAATAAAGATATTCGAGTCGTAAATTTTTGTCTAGCCCCTGTTCAGTTACACAAGCTGAGATCTTTCTCTGTGCGGATATACTCAAAGAACAAACAGCTCCGTTAGCGTTAATTGTATTTTCCGCTGCCTGAGGACCAGACAGAAACTCGCTTGTAAGAACGGAAAGATCCCCACAGGAGATTTCGCAGTCAGTTGCTCTAATTATCTCATAATCGAGTTTTAATACAACTGAATGCCCATCAGACGAATGTTTTCAGTCGCGGTAAAAATAAAGACTCATTTCTCGTCATCGAGTTCTTCTCTTCCCGCTCTGCTCCCATTCACTTACACGAACTAGATTTTTTACTCCGATTTTTTACTACGATATATGCATAATCGAGTTCTCTCGCGTACCAGGAAGGAGAAATACGTGACCGTGATGAATCAAGGAAATCTCGCGTACGATTATTTGGTCTTAACTTGCGGCCTACAGTATCAACGACCGACGTTGCAAGGGGAAACGAAAGCGCGGAAACGAGGGTAAAAATTATGAGAATTATATTATCGTACAAAAAAGGCACGGATTATAGATGACGAGATGAGATATTGAGCTACAATGTAAGGAAGGGAAAAAGAAAACAATCAAGCAGAAACGATCGGGCAATAACAGCGACAAAGACAACTTTGTTTCGCACGAAACGTACCGTGCACCGTAATTATTTTCGAAGGGAGGAGGTAACTGTGGGAAGTACGACGGAATTACCGTGGAATTGCCTGACCATAAACGACGACACGGAAGCATCTGTTTGCTTAAGAAAGATTCGGTGGTTAACGGAGGACCTACAAGAAGAAAGTATGTGTAGCGCGCGTATATAGCGATGCCGTTAGAGGATTATTCGGCGATTCTTCCCAATGATGTTATTCAAATCCTAGGAGCGATATTGCTTTACGGGCGCAATATCGACTGCTACTGTGCGCTTCGCGGTCTGATTGAGTTCGGTGTGAATCCTCGGTGGATCACGTTGATCGAGCCGAGTCTGAACTCCGACGAAACGGACGACGACGTTTTCTACTGCGATCGCGAGGTACGACCTGGACGGCACAAATGCCCAGAAGACATCTGAAAGACACACTCCACTTGTTTCAAACGGCTTTCAGGTGTCTCTAGGAGCTATTTTAGACATTTGTGTCGCCTAAAGATGTACGCGATGTAACATCTTCGCGAGGAGAATCGTGTTTCCTAATTACTTTAGGTAAAATTCCGCTCAAAATAATTGAACATTTACTCGAGTCGAGTCGATAGTGAATATACTGCCGATCAGAATCACAAGAATGGAGAATCGTGTTTTCTAAATTGCTTTACATAAAATTTTGCTCAAAATGATTGAACATTTACTTGATAGTGAAAATACTGCCAATCGGAATCACAAAAGTGAATGTTTTACTTAATACACTTAGAGTGGATTCTTAATCCATAGGAGTTGTTTATACGAATCGTTTGGAATGGGTAGAGTGAGTTTGTCCCGAGTGATTCACTTTCCAATCTTGCGAAACGCAGAGAAAAATCTCTCGAGTTCGGACGACTCTACTTTTTTAATGGAATTTCGCTCGAGAAAATTTCGAGAATAAACAAACGATGTCTTTCGTGAAAGAAGTAATTAAATCTGTAACGACTCGTTACTTTCTTCTCTATCGGTGCCTTTAACAGGTCATTATTGATAAAAAGTAACTTGCAATAATAACAATGTTACTACTAACATGTTAGGGGAGACTGGAAGGTACATACGAGAAAACTATATTTATAACTATATATGTATATTTTCTATATGTTGGTTCAAGGGTCATGTTGGCACCATGTGTTTCATTTGTGCATTGTGGAAGCAATAATAGGAAAAAGTCGCAAAATTAAACATTGGAAACCTAAAACATATGTATTACCTATCTTCTAAAAATAATATTTTTGTAGTTCTTTTTCCACTATCCTTCTCATAATAAATATTGAGTAAGCGCAAAACTTTCGATGGATTTCTCAAGAATTACTGATTCAACTTTATAACACATTTATTGACACATACGATATTTATTTCAATGAATTTTAAAATAAAAAAGATAAAAATTAAAGGAAATGCACAAAAATATATCTGGAGTGTTCGAAATATACAAATGTCGTATGTATTATTTCGTATCGTTTGACATCCTTCTATTCTTAGAAGTTTCGTCGTTCGCAGTCAATCGGGATCGAGTAAGCAATTATTTTCAAATGGCCCCACAGATGAGAGTCAAGTGTGTATTTAATAATTTAAATAAATATTATTGTATGTATTATGTTAACGTCGAATTTAATTCTCTCAAGCTTGACTCGACGTTAACTTTTTAACTAAACATTTTGAATACTATGTTTATAAGGACTTTTTTTTATCTTGATGAGGAGAACATAATTACGTACATAGCCAGATCATTCTTTTACACGATCTTCTTTTTCAACATGCTCTGTATAATATACCAAAGGTAATAGAAGACAACGACGATACTTGGTAGAATGAATAAATCATTTTAAATAGAATTGCTCAGTCCACGTTTTTCCAAGACGAAATCCACCAAAACTCTCGCACTCGCCCAGTATCTAATATATGGGCAACATAAATCTTAAGTGAATGTGCCTCTACTTTCCAATCATGGATACCGTTCTAAAGAGACACGATGATACGCTCGCAAGGTGGACGAAGCAGTGACGAATGCCGTTTTACAAAACGGAGTCCGAGTGCTGTCCGGATGGTGCATGATCGATTGGAGCCTGACGCGACGTATAGACGGACAAATCGCGATCGAAAATATCACGATCGAGAAAAAAGGAGAGACGAGGACATTGCTCTGCGACATTCTTCTGAATTTTCACGAGAAGACGATCAACTTAAACGCATTTTTCGGTGAGCGATTCGCACTAACGATGTCATTCGCGATGATATATTCGCGCGTTTCACATTCTGGAGTTTCATTCAACATACTTACATTCAACACATTATACTTACATTCAACATATGCTTTTCAGCGTTTTGCCGCGCCGGTCTCGTTTTCAACGGCTCGCTGATTATAGATCTGGAGTGTCGTACGAATGATCCGTTTATTTTCGCCGCTGGTACCATGACGAAATACTCCAGGAGGTTTCGCGCCGAGTCCTCGCAACATATATATTTCAGTAGCATCGAGGTCGGCCAAAGAGTCAGTGAGATAGACAGCTGTGCTTTTTAAAAAAACACGCTTCCAATTCTTTGCGGTTCTCCTCGATTGAGTCCGCCTCGACGTCGCGTTTTGTTTCAGTCGATTCTGTAACGATCTTCTAAACGTTGTTAATAATAATTATTATTAACCATATTAATGATTATTAAATGATAATCATTGATACTAATTATTATTATTAATAATTAATGTAATAGTGATTAATTAATATATTGGATTTGGTTTTCGGGTCGGCATCGTTTCTTCAAGTTTCTTCAGGTTGTTCCTCTCCCTGAAGAAGCGAACTGAACGAAATCAAATATTTGATCTCACATCGCGAAAGCCTGAAATATATCATGATTAATCAATATATGAATAATAGTGAATATATATAGTGATTAATCATTTCGTTAGTCATTTTGTTATTATTATTTATTGTTAATACGTAGTAATATATATACATTACTGTAAATATATGTAAATATATGTTGTTGCATTTATTAGACAAAAGCAAATCACGCGATGTCGTCGCAGAGTATCCATTAGGAAGTGAATCTTTCATATGCCGGTTGCGAAGAGAAAACGAAAACAATTGAGACCGCAGAGGATTCAAATTCTCACGATTGTTCTCGCTCGAGACACTTACGTTTCTTTCCGGTCCTCCGTCCGCCGGTAGCTCGCCGAGATTTTACAGAGAGAGATCAACGTCCAACGGAACGACGAGGAGATTTCTCAGCTGTGGGAGAAGCAAAAAGCGCGCCCGACAGTTCCGGTATTTCGTGCGCCCGTCGTAATCGCATGCATTTTGCCGGGAGATTATCATTATTTGCACGTACGCAAACCCGGAAAGGAAACCCTGGCGATTAATCGGAAACCCTCCGTGAGTTGAACGTCAAACGGAGCAAAATAACTGAAGGGAGGATCAATAAGAGTCTATTAAAATTATTTGAAATTATACAGAAATTATGTCCGGGATATTTTAGAAACTAAAAATTGTGAAGATTGATCAGATCAAACTCAGAAGAAAAGTTTAGTACCATTTTGAAAAAATCGCAATAGTTATTAAATTATTAATGATTGAAAATGACTACATCTAGAAATTCTTTTAATCGATAACATGAAAATTTGCGTATTTATTTGCAAAATGGTAAAGGACTATTTTGTTCAGAATGACCTAATCTACAATTTTCAACCATTAATAACTTAATAATTACTGCAAGTTTTGCAAAATGGTATTTGACTTTCTTCTTAGATTGTTACTCCCGTGTCTAAAGATAAAAAGCGTTGTGAGACGATATAATTCTTCAAATAATCCGCTAAATAGTTTTATTAAATTATGTATCTGGCGCGTTGGCCCTCTCTTTAATTATTTTTCATTCGACATCAACAGATCTTTAAATTTATTTATTACTCGAATTATCTAATTACTCAAAATATGAAGTACAAATTTGGAGATTCAATAACGCCAGCGCGAAATCTCTTATCGTTTCTTGACATACAGGGAGAAGTATTCATCACTGGCTCTTGCACGTCCAAAATTGGATACTTTCGCATTCGATTGAATCCTTACGACTCTGTAGACACTGTGACGTGCCTCAGAAGGAAGGTAGCCGCTTTGTTGATTTATTTGTTGCAAAAGATTTCTTTGTTAGACTCATTAGGAAAACGAACAATTATTTACATAAAGATATATTTTTGACGACCTCGACTTTTACATTTGTCAAGACCATTTTAAAAAGTTTCAACCAGAAATTATTATTTATAAAAAAATTTTTAATAATGAAAATATTTCAACAAGTTTTAGTTGAAGAGTTTCAACAAGTATTACATCCGTATTGTCTCCACTCTCAGACATATATCACCTTTAAAATTAATTTTTACCTACCATTTTTATCTGTAAAATATTTATTTCTAAACTTATAAATCTACATAAAACGCATCAGTGTTGATGTGTACTTTCTATGAAAACGTAGTCTATAACTGCACGATATTCAGGGTCATATTACAATTTTCCACGCAAAGCGAAGCTCGCTTAGCACTGGCCGATGCTTTCCACGCAAAACGACGTTTTTATTATACAGTATCAAAGGTTCGTAATTTTCCATGCAAAGTGAGGTCCACGGCATATCGCGTCAAGATGAAAATCATTAGAGACATGTCGTGTTAACAATTTGAACGCCGTGACGATTACTGGTGTCCGATATAATGATATTACTACATTTCATTAAATCACGCATAATTTATTGCACATGAAAAATCGGCTGAACGGCCAATATACGAAAAGAATGTTAAAGAATAGTAAAAAAAATAATAAGCAAGAAAAGTTAGAAATAATAAAAATTACTATAGAATTTTTTAACCAAGAAACATATCGGTATTTTGCCTTAATTTCTCACGCTTCAGTTTCATGTGTTATTTATATTTTAGAAACTGAAATCTTTAAATTAAAAATATTATTAAAAAAATATATCATGTTTCTTAGTAAAATAAATTATTCTGTTCCTGCACTACCAGAATTTTTTTTTTTTCAGGAGAATTTATATACAAAAGCTGTGTAAAATAATCATGACAAGCCTGAAAAGAATCTTACTGGCCTTTTATCTACTAATTGTTATCATCAGAATTTTATTTATATTAATCTTTTTATATAATATTCTTTCCGCACAAAGAAACCATAAAACAAGATGAAAAATATATGTGTTTCGAATTATATTGTTTTTTATTTTTTATTATTTTTCATAATCATATCCGTTAAGCTTTTGTGCAATTAATAGATATCAATGCAACAGTCTATGTAAATACTTATCTCACATTTAGCGGACAATTTATATTTTCAATGATTTATGTAAGATTTTTATGCATATATCTAAAATATCACACGGGTTTGTCTCGATTTGAAGAAAACAAACATTAATTGGCACTCTTATATTTCTACAATATATCTATATCAACGTTGTCGAAGACGTGTTCCTTAATATAAATAAACATAAAAGAACGCTACGTCACAATAATTCATATTCATTCTCATATATTTGTTATTCCCCGAATATTGCGACTTTGTTTCTGATCAATGATTATCTTTCAGACATTTGAAGTGCAGGATATGATCGCTTTGTACGGGAAGCATGAGATTATGTTAAACGAATTGAAGTTCCGCTTTAAAGTAAGCACTCGATGAGACAATGCGAAAGGAGATGTTAAGTTATTGTGTTTAACACGTACGTAAGGTGAATGTCCCAATTAGTGACGAAGTACCTTCATCATGAAAATAATAAATTAATACTCGTGTTGAGTAAAGTTGATTTTGTTGGAAAGCTTGAAAATTTAATTGTGTTGTATGTTTCTAAAATTTCAGAATTTTCGAGAGATTTTAATTTAAAATTTTGAGGAAATTTTAATTTATTTATAATATTGGTATTTATATTTTCTCAAAATTGTTTGAAGTACCATTTAATGATATAACACTTTAATCTTGTTTTTCCATTAACACTTTAATTTGAAAAAAGTTAAAAGACAACTGCACATATATAACAAATGGACATCTGATATTAATTATAAACTTCTAAGATTCAGCGAGTAACTGTTCAAACTGTACGCTTGTATAATTATGATGCACCAGCATTTATTATATACATATGGCTTTTAATTTTATCTAAAACTTGTTGCAACCGATAATATATAAGATTTAGAGTAAAAACATATGTGCAGGATAAACATAAGCTGGTATAAACTGATTTATTAAGGAAAAGGAAGCAGATGTGATTGTCATAAATTGGGGCATTCCCACTGCCGCTGATTGGAATATCCGTCTTACGTAACGCATTTCTAATTCGCATTTCATTGTCGCACAATCAGAACTCGTCTGTCTCGGATCTCTACGCGTACTTTCGCGAACCGTGGGCCACGGCGATTTTCCATGACAGATTCGAGTGTCTACGCGCCGAAAATCGGGTCGTTTTGCTGTCACGAACGGTAAGCCAACCATTCATCCGCGATATTCCACATCGCGGTATTCACGGTATGTACTTACATTTCTTCGCCGCATTTCTTCACCGCAGCACGCTCACACCGATTCCATGGTCGACGATTGCGTGAGTGCTTTAATCAAGTCTAAGTGGCAAGAGGTGAGTGGTTTCACCTACAAACTTTCATTATCAAACGTCACGCGTGCAAATCCCACACGCGATTATTAGAACAATACTGCGAGTGAGAAAAGGCTCGATCTCTGTGTAGATATCGAAACAAGATCGACGCTACATCGAATCAAGATACGCCGGCTCGATTTATTACCGAAAGCTTGAGAACAATCTTGTAAGTTTTCTGGAATTTTACGAAAGTGATCTGCCGATGTATTGCACTCCGTGCAAGCAACGACGAATGTACATGGATGTCGAGGACAGTCCGTTGTATTTTGAACAATGAAGACATTGTGCAAAAATTCATCAAAGACGCGCGTTTTCTACTTAAAGACGAAGATAAGATCGCATAGATATACTGAAATGGAGTAAAAAGTTAAATCTTTGATTCGCGCAAACTTTACCGCATAAATCGCGATCGAGTCCAATTGAATGAAAATCGATTCGAGTCGGATTAATAATCAGACGTAGGAATTTGTACTACAAAATCCAGTCGACGATAAAAGTCTAGGGAAACTGATATGGTTGTATCCTTCCTACTATCAAAAAGTTTAACTTGCATAAGAGCGATCTCTGGTGAAATATCAAGTAAATCAAACAATAAATACATAACCAGTAATGTATCGGATGAATTTCATGATCAATTTATTTAAACTAAACTTTAAACACAAACAAAAGAATAAGATCCTAATTTTTATACTTACAAGTATTTTTAATGTGTAAATATATGCAGTGTATATTAGTAAATATATTTCTGCATAACACTTGATAATCTAAATGTCTTTTCATGTTTTTTTCGTAAATGCGTTAAATAAAAAATTATACTTTTAAGCTATTTTGTGCTACTGCAACGTTCTTACCATCTTCTTACTATCAAGAGGTTTTTAGACCTCTTGATAGTAAGTAAGTAAGTTTTCGTGACTACAGAAAAGATTTGTAGAGGGCCCGGAGGTAATTGAAGAAGAGTGACATTATCGACCATTTTTATTCGATATAAATACCTGGACATTAAATGTGTAATGATATATTCATTTTATAACTTACAATTATCTCGATGTTTTATCGACATATATACAAAAGCAATAATAAATTACGTTAGATATTATATCTGCGTAATTATCTTAGTTTATACTGATTTGATATAGATATTTCGACAGGTGGTTATTATATAGAAAAATTTTTCGTATACATAATTCCTATAAGAAATAAAACAATCTTCATTATTACCTCTCATCGATGACTGAAAATATAATAAATTACAAATGTTTAATATCAAGGAAAATATCGCAAATAATTGTGTATGAAGTTCTTAAATAATTAATGTTGACACCACGGTTGTGTCATAGATTTCAAGATCATGTCTATGCGGATTATATACGTATTGCTTGCATGATGTATACAGGGTGTCCCATTTTAAAAAATGCACCTCGATAATTCTTCAACGAAGCATTTTCAGCAAAAATGTTCGGACAAAAGTTGTATGATCTCAAGGAGGACATAAAACAATTGTACTATTTTGTTTACAAATGGTACCACTTTCGAGATATTCACTGATCATTATTTTTCTTAAATGGAAACCCCAATTTTTTATTACACCGTCTTTTTCTACCAATTAATTTAAACAACTTTTGCCTAAAATACTTTTTTATTTACCTAATATTTTTTTGAGATATTTAAGAAAAACTTGATAACTTTTTCAATATTTAACTCACGATATCTCGCTAACTATTTGTCGGAAGAAAAAGTGGTACTAGATGTTTTTGCTCTGTTTGGTCTCAAGAATATATTGTTACAATAACGCCCTGACTTTTGTTAATTTACTGACTTTTGGAAATTTCAAAATTATTAAATTGACACAAAAAAACAAAATAGTATAGTTGTTTTATGATTTCCTTGAAATCATACAACTTTTTTCCGAAACATTTTTGTTGAAAATGTTTCGTTGAAGAATTATTGAGGTGCGTTTTTTTAAATGGGACATCTTGTATATAGGTTATGATATGTATATAAGTTTAGCAATACATATAATTACGGTTTCGGTATAATTACGGACAGATAAATGAAGCTCTTCTTTTATGAATTAGGAACATATCTGTCAAACATAAATATCAAAATTTATTTACATATATGATATATTTGACGTAAGTGATAATTTGTGAACGTGAAGCTCGAATTCCGCAAACATCCGCAACAACGGAACGTAAACAAACTATAGTAAAAAGAATTGTCTAAATAAGATATGTAGTGTCGTATATTTTTCTCCCACAACCTATTATAACCCATTTAACTGATTTGTCATCATAATTTAACATTAACAAATTATATAAGTTTAACAGATCGCGCAAGTTCATTCACAAATCTTCTTTGATTAATAATTCAAAATTTTATGTGGTTATTCGCAAAATAGTATAGGAATATTTTGTTCAGTTTATTTAGTTTATATAAGAACTGTATATATGTACGATTTTTTTTCATATAGATAATATATATATAAATTATATAAAATAATTAAATTAATTATAAATTAATTAAATTAAATTTTAATATAAAGAAATAATATCAAATTATGAAATATTTATTATATTTGTTCTAGGTATTTACAAGTTTAATGTTTAAAAATAGATTGCGTGACATTTTCATTTCATTATCTAACAGATTGATGAAATTCTTTAAAATTCAAAATATAACCAAAGAATTTTGCGGAATGTTTATAGAAAATAATGTTTATAAATTTACATTCTAATAAATAAAAATATAAATTAATTTTCTTAATTACAATATTTTATAATTATTATATATAGAAAATACATCAATTTCCTAATAACACTAGAATATATTAATTATCGGCTGGATTCGGAACTACATCCATAAAAAAATATTCAATCCGTCTTGCAACTCAATGTACCCTATAGATATAAAACCGCGGCTCTAAAAAAACGGTAAAAAATTTGCCGAAAGAATCAGGATAGTTCGTCGTACGCAGCTCTGAAATTGAGTTTAATTCAATTCGAGTCGTTTCGACTGATCGAATTGCTTCGAGTGCACGACAAAGGGAAGGAAGTAGAGAAGCTATAGGTAAGAAAGCAAACGTATATTCGAAAACGTATTTATATTTCCTTTCCTCATCCTTCAGATAAGTATAATTTCTAATGCTTGGCGGCTTATTTTCGGGACACGACGCCGTGCATATTCTACGTCGTACCTTCCGTGCACGAGAATGGTGACGAAGAAAGCGCGGAGCTCCGTTACAAAATATACATTCCGAGTTCACCGTATAATTTTCAGCTGCTCGCGATGGTAGTCCATTCGCGTCCGCTCGCGGTAAAATCGGCCGATTAGAACGAGCAAAAGAGAAAAGCGGAGAAAAAGAAAATTAGTTAAAGTGGCACTCTCTCGGTGTAAATCCCCGGCGGTTGTCTCAAGACGACGCGCCAAGGGGACGCGCGAGTGCGCGCGCATCGATCGCGCGATGATCGACGGCCGCCGCGTAGACGTAGTTACGCCTCGGCGCGCAAACATTTCTGAATTAAGATCAAAGCCGCGCGATCAGGAGTCGTCCTCGATAAACGAGTCCGCGTCTCTACTTACTTGGTATGCGATTCGATCTGTAGGTCAAGTTTAACATTCCGGCCGTTCCAACAACGGCCTCGGGGCGTTCGTAACGCCGCGTCGCCTACGCCTCATCTTGCAACAGCCACGGGATGTTTACCAGGGAAACCGTCACTTGCGAAAAAACTGTTCGTTCTCGCCCGGCAATTCAACCGGTAGTGTTCCGATCGATTCATCGTGTTTGCACCATCGAGCCAGTTTCAACGCCGCGGACAACGCCTGCGCAATCGATAAAATGGAAAAAAGTTGTACTTCCGTGAGTCCGTATTCATTTCTCGAACGTCGGAGCTAGAGAGCAACATTTATCGCCTCAGCGTTCGCGGAAATTGAAATACCCGATGCAAACGATAGAAATTATTTCATCGTAAAAAAATGATGAAATTGGATGAAAATTTTTATCATGAAATAATAAAAGTCGAGCATACATTTTTAAACACTTATTAAGTAGATTGATAATTGACTTGTTGTGAGTTAAGCGATGTCATTAACGAGGTAAAACTAAAGACTAGAGATGTGCGAACTATTCGAATCCGAATAATACGAATAGGAATCAAATACATTATCGTTTGCGTGCATCAGCTGCTACAAAACGGGCCATCTGGGCCTGTATGTTTGAACCCTTAACTTGTAATTAACTTAACTTATAATTAATAACTTAATTATAAATTACTTTAAATATTTAAATATATATTTTACTTTAAGATGAAATTACAATATCAATATTCCTTTTCATATTAAAATCTTTCATCATTATTTGCAATTGTTTAATAGTCATGTTAAATTTTTTAATGATTTGATTCGATTCGAATTTAAAAAATGAGATTCGATTCGACGTAAAAATTTTTGATTCGCACATCTCTACTAAAGACCATTGGGTCCTATGAGATTTAGCGTAATTGAAAGATTTCGTTCTTTAATAATCCCCTGTCGATAAATTTTGTATCAAATTAGGATAAGAGATGACTGCAGAAATGCAGTTTCGCAAAGATATCGAAATATATAGCAAAAAATATTTAAAATATTAAAAAAATGTTTTAATAGAAAATTAATACTTTATTACATGTTGAATATTCAAATGTTTATATCAGATGACCAAGATGATCGATAATGTCATTTTTGCGACCACGAAAATTTGTCCAAAGCAATCTTCAACAGTCATTCATCGACTAGTGACAATTTATAGAATACAATTATGTTTCAACTCACAACTCAAGACTACAAGTAGCAATCGTTCGAAAATATATTGGCGGGGAAAAATGATATTACATTGTCGCCAACTATTCATGAAAAACTTGTTCTTCAAGGTATAAATTTAATTTTATGTACTTTTAACAAACGCTTGAAAATTTACACTCGACTTTTATTAATTCCCGGTTCTAAAATAAATGCTCCTCTTTGGCTTTGGCGTTCTAGAAGCAAACGCGATTTAAATAGAGCTTTTCACACGATATACTATTTTGAAGGTATACAAACGTCACAGCTTGATATAACTTTTATCAAATAACAATATTCAACGGAGTTCTTTTTAAAAATAAATTATCCATTCCCGCACGCAGAAAATCATCTCAAGTCTGACTTGTTATCATATCCCGACACGAGTAATAAATCACGAATCAGTTGTTATGTAGTCTCAATGGATTAAAAAGCAGAAGAGTCCTCACGTTGGACTCTTTCGAAATTTCCGGGACTTTTAGATCGCTTCAATTTTTTGAATTCACTCGTGAAAAACATCGTCCGTCGCGTTTTCGTTCGTTTTCGTTCGTCCCGCCTTTTCCTTCGAATGCGTCCTTCCTCGAGCCCACGCACGTGGCGCAGACTGTTTATTGCAGATTTCGTCAGTCTCTTTGATCTATTTCGCAAGTGTGTCGCCATGCTCTTGAAACGTATCCAAAATCCTGCGGACCCTGATGTTGGGTCAATGTCGTGTTATTTTTACCGTTTGGCTTACCTATCCACGATCGCGTGGCTACCGCTAAGAACCATTTGTCGCGAATGAACGCACCTCCTTATTCGATCACATCCGACGATACGGTCCAATTAAGCGACGATGACCATTGTTTTGGTTATGACGATCGCTAATAGACAATAACTCGAAACTTCTTATGAGAATTAATTTTTTGTCAAGCGTGTAATTACAACAAAGGAGCTAAATTAGAAAGGCATCTGAAAAAATGTTTTCTTTTTTACATGCCGATTTTATTACAAAGAAAAATAGTGTCAACAAAATATTTCTTTCTTTTTGTTTTTGAAAAATGAAGGGCCTGTAAAAAGCTGGATATAAATGCGAGTTAAATTATGGGAAGATAATTTAATATTTGAGCATAACATACGCATCACACGAGTCAGATTTACTTACACAGTAGTCTCAATAGATGAAAAGAAACAAATCCTCACGTCGATTCCGTCAAAATTTTTCCATTTTACGTAATCGAGTCCACGAAATTTTCAGATCTCGATTCGATTTCTTGAATTCACTCAGGGAGAACGTCGTCTTTCCTTTTATTCGCGTTGGTTTTTTTCTTTTTGTATAGTTGGCTGTAACATTATGTTGTTTCAATGAGTTTCGTGCTGCATCTAGTAGCCAACAGGAGAATTTGTTCTTTAATAATTATTAAGAGATTCATTATCTTCCTGTTAAACGTAGAATGTGTTGTAAATATTAAGCCCCTGAGTGCTCGTCGCGACCATATTTGATTGTGACGCCACATAGCCGAGAAATGACACGCTGAAAATTCTTGCGTGCCATCTCCAAATAAAAAGAAATATGCATAAAAGAATACCTCAGGTCGCTAGAATGTACTTGTAAAATGCTCCGGACATGCTTCTCCCTTGACAACCAATCAACGGCCATAAAATATGATTGTAATGTGAGACCTAATCTGCGCATGCGCAATCATCCCATATGACCAATCTCATATTACGATCATGTTACGACTTTCAAGGTTTAAGCATAGTGTTCGAAGGATTTTACAAGTATGTTCTAGCGACCTGAAGTATTTTTTCACACAAATATCTTTTTATTTCAACATGGTACGCAAGAACTTTGGGCATGCGTTTATTCGCTTCTAATGTTATCGATCAGAGGAAAACTTCCTCCATATGTTGTCCAATTAACAAGTTATACAACCTTTTATATTTCTGTATGTGTTGAATAAAAAGAAAAAAGATATTGCGTCAGTTAGGAACTTCTGCATCCGATCGGCTCTTATCAGCCTTAGAGAGAGATATTTATTAATAATCTAAAAATAATTAATTAAAATAATAATTTATTAATAATTTAGATAAGAATGATTTATTTCTATTTATAGTTATATTTGTAATTTATAAGATAACCTGTACCTAGGTAGCATGTGCTGTTTAGAAATGTTTCCGAGGCGTTTTACAAACGATTATAAAACGTTAGAATACGTTTAGAAAATGTATGTAAAACCAACACGCGCGCTACTAGGGAATGTAACATGTAAAACGTGTCAGTTGCGCTCGACGGAAGGTTAAGGAAGGACGCCAACTGGTTCTGAGACGCTACGTAAACTCGCGCGCTCCTCTCGATTATGCGCCGTCATAGAGCCGCGCGGCTCTGTTGTAACGAGAATTCATTATGTAAGAGAGAGCCGATTTGGCCGCAAACGCCTGTCTTATGACAGGGCAGCGCGCGCGTTAGTCGCTCCAAATGGCAATATAGGAGACCCCATATTCCCGGCACGTTGCACGATGAATCACTGCTCTTTTGTCGCTGCAATTACTATACTATTATTACCGTCGCTCTTTCCTCGTTCAGCATCGAGCCCGAAGGAATTTTATAGCGGCGGTATCGTTTTAGGGGGTATCCGTTAAACACGAACAAAACACAAGCTCCTGACTCACGATCTCGCGTTGAGAATCAACGTTTAATGACGCGTGAAATAGCGCGGAAACGCGATACAGAACAAATAGGATAATAAAGTACAGTTATGGGAAAAGGGAGGGAGGGAGGGAGGGAGGGAAAGAGAAAGAGAGAAAGAGAAAGAAAGACAAAGGTTATCGGTAACAAAAGCGATACTTCTCTCCGATTTGTCTTTTTCCCACTCTTTCCGCTTGTATTGGTATTGCGCGCTGTTGCTCTACCGCATCGATTCTCACTCGCTGCATCTTTGTGTTCCCCCGTCCCCCTCCTCTCTCGCCATCGGTCTTATTAAATTCATCGATTCTACAAAGTAGATAACAAGAGCCGAGCGATGATCTTCATGCGTTAATAACTTAGATTCTTTTAATACGTGGAATATTAAAGAGGAATGTAAAATTGATCTTCTGGTTCTTGAATATAAAAGTTGGTTTCTCTCCTTCTCCTATATCTTTTTATTTTGTTTGTTTTTAGTCTTATATTTTTGCATGAAAAAAATGTATTTCTTTTACAACAAAGAGGGAAATATTCTCTCCTTTACTTAATATTTTACAGAAAAATAAATTGTGTTAGAGTAAATGTTATGTATGCAATAACGATACAATCGTTATATTGTTTGAATAATACAAACGATAAAAAGATCAGACAAGTTTAAACGATATAACAATTATACCTCATCTTTTGTTTGTTATCATTTACTGAAAAGAGGTTCCACAGTAGGACAAAAATTGTCTAATGTTTCAATTACATGAGAGTTATCGCGCACACACAACTATATATTAATTTCTCTCTTATTAAGTAAAATTTAATAAAAAATAATCTTATTAAATAAATCCTTTTTATTAAATAAATCGCACAAAAATTAACGCAATATCCTATTATTATTAATATCCTTCCCCTTTTTTATTCGTTGATTTTCCATATATTTTCTTTCCATAGAAGAAACATGCTGAAGTCTTACCCAACGCGATATCCTACACGAGAAGCCGGCACTCGAGTGATTCGTCTGACAGTGGATCAGGAAGCTGTTCTTCAAGAGCAGTTTAACAGATGGCCAAGAGCGCCTCATACCGCGGACGTTGTACTGCTCGCAGCTGAAACGGGTCTTTCCGAGGCTGACGTCGAGGTGAGTAGAAGATACATTCCAAGACTATGGCACATAACAGACACAATGTGAGAAGGAAGGGCCAGTGGGATCGAGTAGAGCGAAGTTTTACAGTGCAATGATAATAATATACCGTATTAAAATGTGTACTTCTATTTCAGGGATGGTACGCCATCAGATTGGCCCAATGGCGGAAAGAGCAAGGCCTTGGCGGAAATCTGGGATTGCATTAACCGTTGCCGCTGAGAGACACTTGATGCGGTCTCGTTTCTGTACCTGAAACTCCAATTTCCAATTTATACAAGCACGAACAGCAATTGGTCGACGCAGCGAATTAGCAACCCAATCGCTTTTAGTTTCTCACGAAATTGATTACTTAGAGAAAGAGTTCGCACTTTGATTGAGCCGTGTAGTCGAAAGCTTAAATTTTATTACAAGTTTTGTAATGAACATAATAGAAAGTTCTTTTATTCGAAACACAAGATAACTAAGCAACTAGACAAACGTAAAGATATGTAAGTTATTGTTTTAAAATACACTCAACTGTTTATGACTATTTCTACTTAGGAAGATTTCAAATTCGCCACTATTCTGAAAATTAACCGAGTTCCAGAGGACAATGCGAGGAGTGTGGAAGGTTTCATGTAATTTTGTGGGGAAAATATTTCGCACTGTTTGTATCAGGGAGAATCCAAGGTTCACCATACCAATGGCCAGTCTATGTACAGAAATGTTTTATTCTTAAATTATGCACAAATTGCAATCAATACAAATGTATCTGAAACAAGCAAGGTGGGGGATATCTCAGTTTTTTTGGCTGCCATAAGAATATTCAGATAAAATGGCAGCTGTTTTGGTAGGTGTCAATATATTGCATCAACCGCCGTGTGTTTTTGCAAAATTCATGAGACATGTCCGATTAGTTGTTGTCATATCCGGAAGAAGAGACAACTGTTTTAAATTGATAACTAATTTTTAATAGCATTGATAATCAATTTAAAACAATTGATCATATCTATTTTATAGCTTAGTATAGTAAAGCTAGTTTATTTGTTCAGACATCCACATTTCGACTAAGTAGTATTATAGTAATAAAGGTATGCGCTAAGTCTGCACTTTAGCTAGATATCATAAAACATGTATCATTCCTTCTCTGGCACATCATACATTGGTATTACTAAGTATACGTTTACTTTCTTTTTAAATCATGCGAAACAATGCAGAAACGAACTTTATATCAAATCCTAAAGTTTGATATAGTATGCTTAGACTGTAGTAAAATAAAAAAAAAAGGAGAAGAAAAGAGAGGAAAAAAGAAAAAAAAAGAGGAAAGACTAAATTACGTGAGAAGTGTATTCGGAAATAAAAACCGACTCCTTGTGCACATCTGACCGTGTTCTTTTTATATCCGAATGTCGTTTTTGTAATCATCATGATATTATTAATCAACACTCAGCATTGAAACATAAAATTCTAGTGTCGTTAAATAACTCTACTAATAATTGTAAATCAAAAACTCAATTTTCTCAAGTAAATAGAAAGGAACATCATTGGGAATATCTTTGAACCAGAATTTCTTACAGCTGCCGCCTACCATTGTTACGATTAACAACGGAAATCCATTTTCTTCGCACCACACATCGAGTTACATCGTAGTTATGTCGCGTTCCTATCGGTATCATTTCTTTTTTTTTTTTGGGTTTTCGCAGGATCATTCCCGACAGTAAGTGTCATCAGTAGTAGCAAAGTTGTCAATAAAATAATTAAAGCATTTTATTTTAATACGTAGCACTTATATCAGAGAAAGTACGTCGAATAGTTGGTTAAATTAACGCTACCGAGTGAAAGAAATCAACTCGTGATGGCATTTTTCTGGTTGAGATAGAGAGAGATTCGCGTTTCTACAAATATATATCGAATTATTTGTAAGTACTAAGCGACATATCTAGATGAAACCTACTCAGAGCGATTAATTGACGTACGAGCCGCGAATATCCAGCCTAATATCGGATCGTTAAACGTTAACGAGTGACCAAGATGTACCGTGTACTGCGCTCACGGTATATCCGATGCACTGCCACGTAAGTTAGGAGCTCGGTATAAAAATGAGGCACAGTTTCACAATCAGGGAATCCTTCTTACCAAATTCTATCTCCTATTTCTCCCAATGAATGTATCCATATATCAAACATGACAGCGTAATTACCATCATTAAACTAAACCATGCATGGATATTAATATGTGTCCTTAAATGTGTTTAAGGAGAATGACGATTTCTTAAACAACTGTCGTATTCTTATCGGTAGCAAACAGTCTTAACAACGAGCGTAGACTAATCATGTCGCGTTCCATAATCGTGTAGTCCTTGCGTCGGTATGCGTCATGTTACGTGCTGGGTGTTAATAGCTCTCTTTAGGTGTAACGTAGTAACGTTATAGTAGCAATCGTTAGCCGCAACGGTTGCTTAGCCACTGGTACCATTAACCAGAGCTTCCTTAGGCTTATTGCTCTGTTGCATACGAGGAGGACGAGACCGATGTTCTCTTTGGCCTTTAGGTCCTTGGGAACTGTTAGACACAGAGACGTCATTCGCGGGTGTTCCTTCCTTGCTGTTTATTGTTGACTGGTCGCACGGTCCGGCATTGCTGCCTAAACAAATGCATAGATTAACTCTGAATGTTATCGAATATACGAGCGTGTTCGATCTGCCGACAAACATGATACTTCGTACTACAGATACTGAACTCGAGACAAACCGATCGTCCTAAAGAAATATCACGCAAGCCTAAAAACTTAGAATTACCTGTGCCATGACATTACCTGTCTGAATATTCGTCGGAGTTGTGCTTCGTTGTCGGGAGCGTCGAAGCCGTCTTCGTCTTATCCCTTTAGGTCCACCCTCCACACTCGATACTGACTCTATACATACACAAACCATTGTGACCATCTGTTCGACTCGTAATGGAAGCTGACACTTAAGAGGTGTGTAGATTTAATCACAGGCTGCGAAAGCTGCACTGCATACGTTAGTAGCATGCATTAGAGTAAAATTTCGACGAAACAACATTATGTAGTGTTAGATGGTCACAAGAGTTTGCCTCACAGTTCATGCTATCTCAAAGCGTTCTAATGCGCCACGTTGTCATCTTTAGGACGAAACGGTTACGATTGCACAATCAACACGTGTCATTATTTTAACCGATTAATGTTATTACCTCTATCAATGCTCGAAACATCTTGGCTGTCTAAAACAGTGTCTTCATCGTCGGTAGTGCGACGGCGTTCGTCTCTACGATCTCTACGTTGAGTTGTAGGACGACCTTGCCTGCCACTCATATACCCTGAATTACCGGCACCTCCCTGGTGACCACCTCTCGGTGGTAAGTCCCGGACACGATCTTCACTGCTGTCCATTGTATCTCTACGCAATCCTGAAGACAAAGCGTGAAACATTTAACATGTGCACGTGTGCGATGTCAGAGTAAGATAGCTCTACTTGCACTTTATATCCTATTGATTGATTAACACGCTCACCGCCAAACGTACTTCAGCTGACTTTCCATTCATGCTAATTTTGGCAAGACTTACCATAATATGCACATGTAACAATTTTGAAAATCTTAATAAATAAAAATATTAATCTGTCTGAATTACCGATGTATATTTTGTCTGTTACACTCTTATTATTAAACATGGTTATAAGTTTGTAAACGTAAGAATAATTGCATATTATATATATCTTAATATTCACTGTATAAAGATCACCGATAGCTAACAAAGTATAAATGGAAAGTTCAGTACTGATCACAGGTGGTGAATATTTGGTGGTCACATTTGTAAGTTATAATATACGAAGCGCAAACGACAATTTGTTATTTTTGCAAAATAGAAAATCTCTATAGAACCTTTATAGAAAATTTTAAAATTATATTAAGCACTCGCAGTTGTTTGTTTCAATATTTTAGCAAATGATGATGTCCTTCTTTTAATTATATATTTGCACAAGTGCTTTACACAATAAATGTAATCAGCAATAGTACCGGCGTTGTGTCTGGTGGGCGCTCTACCCCGGGAGCCACGTCCTCGTGATTGACCACCGCGACCACCACGACCGCTGACGCCTTCTTCTGGTCCTGCAACCATTCCTCGTCTTGTAGGAGGAAAGTTGGGCATCGGTCCTGTAGTTGACCCATGCATGCTTCGTAGTTGTTGATCAATTTCCAGTTTTTCTTGTCGCAGTTGTTCCACTTCCTGCAATATAAATCAATAAATCGATACAAACATTCGGTATTCAGATTCAATTCCTATTTACAGCTTTGCTTTATATTCTCTGATTATCCAATATGTATATCGGAAAGTTGATGTTGGAGCTTTTGTTTTCAGAGATAATATGCAGAGAGAACATCGCATGTAAACGAGTTTACAATACATTAACAAATTTTGAGACATATTCTGGCAAATATTGCACGATAGATTTTAAGTTATACACATTTTTCTTATACTATATATGCTGATACGACGCATAAGTATACCTTTAAGTGCGCCAAGTGATATTCCAATAAAACTTTGGCATTGGCGATACTTTCAACAGTGCCAACAAAGACAAAGGGCACCTGACCCTCTTCCCGTGGAATCGTTGGCTGCGGTTCGTTGTCTCCTTCTATTTTTACCCTTACCTGAAATTCGTAGTTATTAAAATTGCGCTTTTGATGCGCTTTAAAGCAATATGAATTACCCAGAATGACATATTTAATCGTATTTCATATCCATACCATCAGTTTTCAGTCACCGGCGTTTGTCATTTCCATCGATTGTTGATTAGTCTGTGAAATTTGCTTAAATATTCTTTATCATACGGAGTATACATACACTGTTTTTTTTAGGAAATCAATTTTTCAAACTCTTTACCATCTTCATGTAACGTTTCTAGGCAATATATTACAATTATACATTTCTATTAGCCACGTGATAATTATACTGTGTATGTATAATTACAGCTTTCGTTTAGATGAGTGGGCAGACAAATTTAAAGAACTTTTTTTTCAAATGGAATGCTCTTCTGTCATTACAGGAGATAAATGTTTTCATAATTATAAATGTAACAATTTGTAACCAAATTTCAAAGTTATAAAGCACTTAGAAGAATCATGTCAATTGTTATGTTCATAATTTAATTACATAATCTCTAATATTTATGTAACCCTATCCACGATATATATTTAAAATTTATTGTTATAAAACAAAATTTTCATCATGAAACATTTTTTGTCTACTCATAATAATAATACGAATGCTACGTAATATATTCTCAATTATTCACAAGTGCTTGTAACGAATCAAACAGATCGAGAAGGCATATTTTGAAACAAGATTGGTTTTACAAAAAAGTAATCGATGACAAAAAACAAATGCATGGACATGGAATGATCTATGCATCAAGTATCACTCATGATGCATGTATACATTAAGGTCCATATTCACGATGTAAATTTAGCGTTAAACTTGGCCGTATAATTACCGGCTTATAGTAGTACTGAATGCAACTTTTTAGATAAATAGCACTCAGAATGAGACGGTCACATTTAGCGCTAAATGTGAATATAGGCCGAATCATGTAAAGAGAAACGGCAGTTACTTGTTGCAACACAAAAAGACTGGCCCGAGTGGTTCATGTAAGATTTGCGAGTGCTTCCAGACACATACGAATGATTGACTGAATGAACTGGATGTGGAATAAAATCACAAACAATAGAAAATGATATACTTACTCTATCAGTATGTACATTCCCACTCGAGCCAGTTGTTATCTACCGAGAACAAAGAAGGCACGTATATCATATATAAACTAACCCCTCATAAATTATAACTTCCATTTTCAATTGAATGCTACAGTAATTTTGATTATAGCGTCTTTAAATATGACCACAATAATCATTCTACTCGAAAACGCAGGTTAAGCATTTTGGACAATTGCTACATACCATGAGAGATAAACATATATCAGTAGACGTAGGGGATCTGTAAAGCATTACATGTAATCTATGTACTAAATCTAATAATTCTAATAAAATCATATTGTATCAACTGAAAATGAAAATTAATTTATGTGCTTTCAGTCATTTTTCAGACAATGTTGGTTAACGGACAAGAATCCCTACCTGAGTTATTAATTCTGAAAGTAGCAATTATAAAAACGTACAGACTTATCACACCATCAACCAATAATAAAAATATACTTACTACACCACTCTTGTCCACAATTTCTTGGATAATACGACCATTTTTCCCAATTACTTTCCCTACCAAAACCCGTGGAACTTGTATAGATTCCTCGCTGTATTCCAGCATAGATCTAGCTTTCTTAACAGCTTCGTGTGTCTGTGA